CTAAGTTGTACGCAAAGGTCCTAGCAAACAGGCTGAAAGATCTAATGCCCGAATGGATCCATGGAGACCAGGTGGGCTTTGTCCAGGGAGAGAGAGGGTAGAGATAATGGTTTGAGAACTCTGATGCTTATCCAGAAAAGTAGAAAAGGGAAAGCCCCGGTGGTGCTTTTGTCAATTGATGCCGAAAAGGCGTTTGATAGAGTGGACTGGGGCTTTATGATGGACAACTTGGAAGTGTTGGGGATTGGAGAGAAAATGCGTGAATGGATAGGTAAACTATATAAGGAGCCCACCGCAATCATCACGGTAAATGGGGAGAGGTCGGAATCCATTGGGATGTCCAATGGAACAAGGCAAGGATGCCCATTGTCCCCCTTGCTGTATGTATTGACATTGGAACCCCTGCTATCAATAATAAGGAATAGTGGAGCGGTAAAGGGAATCCAGATAGAAAATATAGAAACACAAAGTAGCGGCCTTTGCGGATGACTTACTGTTTTATGTAGGCAACCCCCGAATAACTCTACCAAATATAATGAAGACCCTGAAGGAATATGGTGAACTATCTAATCTAAAAATTAATCCAACAAAAACTGAGATTTTGAACATTAATATACCAAAGAGCGAAAAAGAAAAGCTACAAAAAGAATTCCCCTTTATTTTGGAGAGAAAAAGATATAAAATATCTAGGAATAAAACTTGCTACCTCATATAATAAACAACTGTATAGATTAAACTATATTTCTCTGATAAATGAGATTAAGGATGAACTAAAAAGATTAGAAGGAGGAAATCCATCATGGTTAGGACGTATGAACCTAATTAAAATGGTAATTATCCCTAAAATATTGTATAGATTTCAAATGATCCCGATCAAACTCCCAGAGGTGTTTTTTAAAATATGATGAGAAAAATGTTAACAAGATATATATGGAGGAATAAAAAGCCAAGAGTATCATATGAAACACTAAGTAGGACTAAAGAGAAAGGGGGGATGGGACTACCTGATGTCAAGAGATATTACAAAGCAGTAATTTTAGCAAGAATCTATGACTGGACTTTTAATCACAAGGGGAAAAGTTGGGTAAAAAATAGAGAATGATCTGAGTGGAATTAATTTGAGTAAGATGATATGGGTTCCAGCACATTATAGAAGAATTAAAGAGGGCATAAGCACTTACACTTTAATTGTTTTAAGGATATGGGATAATCTACATAAACACATGAATTGGGAATTCAACTCTATATTAATGCCTCTTGCAAACACGGAATTTTTCCCCCCAGGAAAAATTAGATATCAGGGAGATGGTTTAAAAAGGAAGACATCCAATTGAGAGACGTATTGGTAGAGGGGGAATTGAGAACATTTAAAGAATTAAAAGAGATGGGAGGAGATATGTTTACTAAAATAGATGAGTGGAAATATCATCAATTGAAATGTTTTATAGGAACTCTCCCAAAACCCTTGAGATTAAAAAAGGAGTGGAATATGTTTGAAAGGCTACTAGAAACACGTAGAGATGGGAAACATGGTGTTACAAAAATGTATAGAATACTTACAGAACTAGACACAGACACAAAGTTAATTTTTATAACAAATTGGGAAAGAGATATGGGGGTGGTGATAGATGAAGATCAACAGAATAAGATATTTAGATTAATTCACGAGTGTGTTAGTATGAGAGAAGTTGAGATTAACTATAAATGTTTGACACGATGGCATATTACACCGAGCACTGAGCACAGGATGAGGGGGGAGAATTCAAAAATGTGTTGGAGAGGATGTGGGGAAGAGGGCACGGTGTTTCACATATGGTGGCAATGTCCAAAAATCCAGGTTTTCTGGAAGACAATAGTCAAATTAATAGAAATAATGACTGGAAATGACATAGGATTAGACCCAGCCATGTGTCTCCTACATAGTATTGAGACAACAGTAAATAAATATAAAGAATCAGGTGTATGGTACTACTTGAGTGCTGCAAAAGGGTTGATCCCCAGGTTTTGGCGGAGGATAGAGGTGCCAACGGAGGAGGATTGGATCAATAGGGTAAACCAGATTAGCAGAATGGAAAAATCTTATCATATTCAGGAAGATAGGATGAAAATATACTATTTACGATGGGAAAAAAAATGGGAAAAATCGGGATTGAAAGAGAAATATAGAAAACTTTAAATTAGGAAGTTATTCGAAGTTACTGGGCCCAGAGGGATTGGAGATCTTGCAGAAGGGGAGGGAGGGGGGAAATGATGGGGAGGGGAGGGAAGGGAAAGAAAAGAGGTAAATAGAAGGGACAGAGTAGAAATGTAGTGATATTTTTATGTATTGTGTCTCTTTTTATGGAATTTTTGTAATAATGTGAAAAATCAATAAATATTTAAATTAAAAAAAAAGAACACCTTTCGGAAGAATTAGAGCGGAGACTGCGAGCCAGGCCTTCTCGTCCGACATCAATACCTGACCTCACAAATGTGCTTCTGAAGAATGGTCAAACCTTCCCATAGACACTCCTAAACCCTTGTGGATGGCCTTCCCAGAAGAGTTGAAGCTGTTATAGCTGCAAAGGGCGGGCCAACTCAATATTAAACCCTACAACCTAAGACTGGGATGCCATTAACGTTCATGTGCATGTGAAGGCAGGCCGACCAATACTTTTGGAAATATAGTGTGTATATACACTATATGTATATGTATGTGTAGAGATATATATATATATATATATATATATATATATATATATATAGATAGATACAATTTTAATCAGAGGCCTTGCAGAATAAAAGGGTGGGTGTTGTAAACTTTTATGTCACACAGTATTTGTGAAGTGGTAATTCAAACACAAATTTTGATATTAGTGGAACCTAAACTAAAAGCACAACTAAGGAGCGGCCCTCTAGTAGTAGCCAAACCCCCCATCAGCAATTCACGATTCAGTTAGTAGCCATTAGTAGAAGGACAACACCATCAAACAAGACTGGGCGGGTGCTGAGTCCTTCAATGATCTCAGAGAAAATGATTTGATGGTGAGTGCAAAAATCCAGTTTCTCTATAGTTCCTTGAAGGACACAACTGAATTTTTCATGGATGGGATGCCCCAATGCAGTGCCAGAAAGACAGAAGAATAAATGGGCCCACAAATCAAACAGAACCAGAAACTGACCACAAGGCAGAACTCAAACCACAGCCTGCAAAACTTTCTGGCCAAAGCGGACATTCACAGAGGCAGCGATATTAACCTTATAAAACTTGGTAAATGTGTGAACTGAGGACCAAGTAGGCACCCTGCAAACCTGAAAAACAGAAGTAGAATAATAAAAGGCCAAGGACGCGCTTAGCGCCCTGGTAGAATGTGCCGTAATTGGAAACGGAGCCTCCTGGCTCGCAAGACCATAGGCCTGGATCACCATCCTACAAACCTATTTCAAAATGGTGGAAGAGGAGGCAGCTTGACTTTCTCTAGGTCCCTATGAAATGTTGAACAGAGGATCAGACTACTGCTGGCTATTAACTGAATCCTGGGTTGCAGATAGGGGTTTAGCCACCACCAGAGGCACCCCGTAGGCACGCTTTTTGGTGTTGCTCTCCAGCAGCATTACTTCCCATCCCATCAGAGTCACCATAGAACTCCCGCTGCTTCTGTTTGCACTGAACACAGGAAACGCTGAAGTTAACTCCGCACTAACGTGCAGGGATTGCTGCAACACTTAGCTCCGGCGCGGTCCGACCTGCAGGTATGACAGATGCGCCGTGCTAAGGGGGATGGAGCTGGTTGAGTGAGGGATATGCAACATCTCCGGGAATATTGCGGCAGCGGACAGATGAGATTTCATGTACTCACATCTGGTGGCGCGGGATATGAGGAGGATTATCGAGTTTCCTGATACACTGAAGGATCGCACCTTGGGAATTTATCACGCAAGCGATATTGCTGTTTAAAAATACAGCAATATCTTCTGGTGAGTTTATATTCTAGCCATCGGTGGAGGTGACATGTCTGTTGTTCCTGGATCACTAGGTGAGGATTTAGTTTGCAATGGACATTGGGACTATTCAATTCAATTATAATATAGTTGATTTTAACGCCATTGGACTTATGTACAATATTTTTATTTTATGTGAATTTTATTTTTATTCTTGAACTTGATGGAATTTATTTAATTTATTTGATATTATTCAATATTTTTGTGTTTAGCGCTGCAACTTTTCTTTTTAGCACTTCTAGGATCTTGGTATATCGGTATCCATTGCACGCAGCTACACTTAATTTATATTTTTTACTTTTTGGATTTTTAGGATTAGCGCTGACCTCATTTTGTTTTTCATGCTTTTAGTTGCACTAGTGCCCTAACTCCTGAAGGTGCTGGCATCAAACTCATCCATGAAAAATTCAGTTGTGTCCTTCAATGAACAACAGAAAAAAATACACTTTAATGAATTTTAGTGAACACAAACAAAATACCCAATTTTATTGTAAAATATAAAAGATGATAAGCTGAGTAAAAAGATGCTAAACATGCCACGCTTTAAAATTGCGCACACCCGAGGAAAGGCAATAAACTGCAGTACATTAAAATTAACCATAGGCGATGCTTTAAAAGCCTTTAGATGTTACCAGTTTAGAGATAAACAGGTCTGGTGTTAGAATTACTGTTCTCGCTCTGATGTTCGCAGTGATACCTCAAATGTGGTGCAATCACCATTTACATATGCATGTGGGACCTACATTCGGATGAGTACGGGGTTGCTTAAAATTTTTTTTAATTATTATTTTATTTAAGCTTATTTTTTTAATCACTGTATTTTTTTAATCAATTTTATTGCTATCACAGGGGATGAACAACCCCCGTGAAAGAATGGGCAGTGACACGTCCTCATTTTGGAGAGATCTAGGGTCTATTAGACCACATATCTCTTTTGTCCTCCAAAGCATCCAACTGACACTACTATTTACATAGTTACATTGTTAGTCTGGCTGAAAAAAGACAAAAGTCCATCTTACCAAATGTTCTGCACCATCCAATATATCCTGGAAAAGCTGCCGTCTCACTTGTATATCTGTCAGATGCATGACATCCTCCTGCAAAAGCACAACACACAATGTGTCAGGATAAAAATATCGCTGGTAGGGACATAAAAATAATTGAAGGGAAGTAGCGTGGTACACATTTCCTTTATTATATGCAAGGCTTAAAAATATAATTTTATTTAAGGTTTTAAAATGGTAAATAAGAAATATTCCATATTCCACTTTCATATGTTTGTGTACAATCACACATACCTCCCACACTCATCTTCATTATATAAGGAGAGGATGTTCCCTTATTCATCAAAAGAAGCTCAGGCAGGGCTTATAACACGGCTTGAGATTTTAGTACAGCAGAGGCACTATGCTGTCAGCTAAGTACTACAAATTAGGTGTTTACTGGATTTCTGGCAGAATCAACTGTTATTTCTGTGTACTTTAAAAAAGACAAAATATGGAGAAATGTGTATGTATTGTACAGATCTACTGTTTATGTGTTTTTATTTTGCGCAGACACACCCTGTTCTACAAACTAGCATCCCATTACTGTACGTTACAAAGTGCCAGTCTCTGCTAGGCACACAGAATAAGAGTGTACCAAACTTACAAAGTGCGTGGAAATAATGAGCAGTATGCGCCAGGCAGACAGCAGCATGTGGTATTCAGTCAGTGAGCTGCAGCTGCCCTCCATCTCTGCTACACGAAGCACCAGTGAATGAAACATAAATTCGACCAGTAGGTGAAGCGGCCCTCCTTGGAAAACTTCTCCAGGATGCTCTTCAGAGAGTTGTCCAACGATCCCCTGGACAGAGAAAGGGAAAAGTCATACTGCGTTGTGCAACTCATATATACTCTTTATTGCCTAAAAAGCTACCAAGAATAATTTAAGTACCACAGACTTTGCAATTTTCTGCTGACCATTTGCTTTCACAATGACAGATGTAATTTGCTTTAAAGGAAACCCGTGTTTTTCCCATGCCGGGAGTAGAGACTTCATGACATGGCCACATAGTCACCTGCATTCACTTTACCAAGTTATTGTGTTTTGAGAGGATACAATGTTGTCTCCCTGCATTAACTGGGGAACACAGCAAACCTCTTGATATATATGCCTTAGGAGGTTGGGTACTAGGTGAAGCAGAAAGGTGTATAGTCCTCTCAGTGGACTATGATGCCGATGTCACCGCTCCAGACAACACAGTGGGCTATTGCAGTAGCATCACCTGGCAATCTCCTCCCTCTTCAGCGCTGCTCACTGTCCTACCCTTACATATCTTTATTGTGGTGTACTACTTGGTGATGAGGCGGTCTGGAGATCCTTCCTATATGAGACCTTTTGTCACTGAATATGTGAGTTGCCTACTTACTTTTTAACTATTAAACTTGTTATACCATCTACACTCAGAGATTATGTGTTTCTTCTTACAAATCCATCCTGCAGAGAATTCATAAAGATATCTATCATACCACAACCTAACCATGACTTAACCACACCTCAAAGCAGATCATATTCTCAACATCACTTCCCCTTTAAGCACTTCCCACTAGACTTGACTACATAAATTCTCTTTTCTCTCAGTAACTAGTGAGGTAAACAGCAGGCTTCTGGGACTTTTAAAAGTCGTGCTGTATAAGGAAGGAGGGGGATCAGGATTTTTGGTATACCTCTAAAATCCTCTTTTTGGAGTACATCACAGAACACAGAGGACTTATGGGTTTTGCTTCCACCTTCAGGTGAACGGACACTAGCCAGAAATAGACTGGCATAAACCCTCTACCTGGAGGAACTTCGTGCCTGGTCATACCGGTGAGATTTCAGTTGTGATTTGTGTATTGAAATCACACCTGAAATCGCATCTAATGAATGGCAGTGTCTTAACATTTGCGATTTGTAGCAGTGTGATTTCTAAAGTATTATTATTATTATTATTATTATACAGTATTTATAAAGCGCCAATAGTTCACTCAGCGCTGTACATTACAAAGGGGGACAGAACATGTGACAGAACAATACCAATACAATGCAAAACATGAGGGGATCGAGGGCCCTGCTCTTTCGAGCTTACAATCTAGAAGGGATGGGATAGTGGTACAGGAGGAGATAGCTGTGGGGGATGGAGTGGTAGGAAGAGTGGAGGAGGTCAGCAAGTTAGCAAGGGGTGAGGTAGGCTTCCCTGAAGAGATGGGTTTTCAGGGTGCGCCTAAAGGAGAGGAGAGTAGGTGATAATCTGATGGGTTGGGGCAGGGAGTTCCAGAGGATGGGTGACACCCTGGAGAAGTCCTGGAGGCGGGCATGGGAGGAGGAGACCAGGGAACTAGAGAGAAGGAGGTCTTGTGAGGAGCGGAGTGTGCGTGTTGGGCGGTACTTGGATATTAGGTCAGTGATGTAGTTCGGGGGCAGTATGGTGGACAGCTTTGTACGTCAGTGTTAGGATTTTAAATTTGATCCGTTGCGCAATCGGAAGCCAGTGGAGGGATTGGCAGAGGGGGGTGGCGGAAATGGAGCGGTTGGAAAGGTGAATGAGTCTGGCAGCCGTATTCAGGATCAACTGAAGCGGGGATAGCCAGCGGCGAGGCAGGCCAGTGAGGAGGGAGTTGCAGTAGTCGAGTCGTGATATGATGAGGGAGTGGATGAGCTGTTTAGTGGTTTCTGGGGTTAGGAACGTGCGGATTTTGGCGATGTTGCGGAGGTGGAGTCTGCACGAGTTTGTTAAAGATTGGACTTGGGGCTGGAAGGATAGGTTGGAGTCCAGAATGACACCAAGTACTCTGGCCTGCAGAGCGGGTTTGATATTGACGTTGTTGGATGTGATGTAGAAGTCAATGGGGGGTGGGGTTCGGGCTGGGGGGAAGACAAGGAGCTCGGTTTTGGAGAGATTCAGTTTAAGGAAGTGGAGCGACATCCAATCTGATATGTCGCTCAGTAGGTGTGTGATTTGGGCAGAGACCGAAGGGGTGAGGTGGGGGGTTGAGAGATAGATTTGTGTGTCGTCGGCATAGAGGTGGTAGTTGAAGCCGTGAGAGTGTATGAGTTGGCCAAGGGAGGAGGTGTAGATGGAGAAGAGAAGGGGCCCAAGGACAGAGCCTTGAGGGACCCCAACAGAGAGGGGGAGTGAGGGGGAGGTGGTAGCATTATAGGTAACGCTGAAAGAGCGTTGTGACAGGTAGGATGAGAGCCAGGAGAGAGCAGAATCTCTGAGGCCGAGGGAGTGTAGTATTTTGAGGAGGAGGGGGGTGGTCAACTGTGTCGAAGGCCGCAGAGAGGTCAAGGAGTAGGAGCACTGAATAGTGGCCATTAGCTTTGGCGGTTAGAAGGTCGTTGGAGAGTTTGAGTAAGGCGGTTTCGGTGGAGTGTAGGGGGCGGAAGCCAGACTGTAGGGGATCGAGGAGGTTGTTGTCGTTGAGGTGAGAGCATAGGGCGGGTGTAGACGAGACGCTCGAGGAGTTTAGATGTAAGTGGGAGCAGGGAGATGGGTCTGAGGTTGTTCGGGTCATTGGGGTCCAGGGAGGGCTTTTTAAGTATGGGGGTGATGTGTGCATGCTTCAGTGGGGAAGGGAAAGTGCCGGAGGAGAGGGAGAGATTAAAGATGTGGGTGAGGGAGCGTAGGATGGAGGGGGAGGGAGGTCGTAGGAATTGTGAGGGGATAGGGTCGAGGGGGCAGGTGGTGAGGCGGGCATCAGAGAGGATCTTGGAGACTTCCTCAATGGTAGTAAGGTCAAAGGTGTGGAGTGTTGGGGGAGCTTCAGTATGAGGAATGTAGGGTGGGGTGGGAGTGGAGGTCAGAGCAGTGGTGGGGCCGTGGGAGAGGGTGATGAGGGGGTAGCCGAGTGAGGGGGAATGGGGTCGGAGGGAGTTTGAGCAGTGACGAAGTCCCTGCGGGTAATGTCGAGGGGGGGACTTGCATAACGTTTTCTGTAGTTTTGTTGTGATTTCACAAGCATAGAATAAAATGGAAATTGCACTGCCAATTGCAAGAAATCGTTGAAAATCACACCTGAAATCGCGCTGAAATTGCACATAAATCGCAGCTGTGTGACCGTTAAGTATTCTTAGGATTAGGGAAAAAAAAGGCAACAAAATGTCCTGTTCCAATGGCACCTAGCACCTTCACAAAAACATATGTATGCCACCGTGGTAGCAATAATTCTTAGTAATATTCTTGCTATGATCCACTTAAAGGAGAAGTTCACCTTTTAGTAAAAAATAATAAATGCACATTTTTTTGCAGGTACAAAAATGTGCATTTATTATTTTTGTCTGCAGGAACCTGTAAACAATTACACCGGCAATCAAGAGATCACTGGTACCATGCAGGTCTCCTGCAGATCTGTCAGAATATCTGCTTGCCCGTACGGGATGTACGAGCAAGTAGATATACTGACAGGAAGATTCAATGAACTACCATGGTGCAGTGGACTACAACCTCTAAGGCTGTCAGAACTTGTAGTTTCTAATTCACAGAGGACATTTTACATTTGACAGCTAGCGGGGGGAGAAGATTCCTAAGTGCAGGGACCGGTTGGATCATATGTTACACCTTGAATATGGGTATAACATGTTATGAAAGGTGAACTTATCCTTTAACATATTTGCATGTTACACTGACATGGGCCATATTGATTTTCTTCGCATCATTCCAATTTTAGTATATATCCTATCAAAGCCATAACAACTAGGTGTCCCTAAAGCTGCAATGTCAAGTGCAAGACAGACTAATTACCCAAATATCTAAGATGTTTAACACCTTAGACTCCTGCTGTGTTCAAGGACCCTGTACTTAAAGCATTGTTTCTCAACCTTTTATCAGTCAAGGCACCCTTAAAATTCTGCACAATCTCAAGGCACCTTTTTCAAAAATGTAAAAAACTAAACAAATAGTTTTACACAGTGCAGCAACATCCACACACGTAGGGCACCAATCGTTAGAGGTAGCTTATTCTTCCAAAACAAATACACATTTACACACTGGTACTGACTAGTATTTCAGTGTTTTCTCTTCTCCCTCAGTTTTTCTCCCTCAGCTAATGCGCCTCAAGTGCTGATGGAGGGGGGCAGGGGAGTGGCAAACAAGGATGCTGTGCAGGAGCCCAACGTCCTCCTCATCAACCAAAGACGTCACAGGTTGGTAGGGTGCCGGCGGCTAGAAGACTGTAATGGTGCACAGTGAAAACCTATGGCTTTGTGTAACTAAAAGGCAGGCTTGATCCACCTACTGGCTTCTATACAATTTTTGGGTAATTTTTAGGCAAATTGCACCTCTGAAGAAACCTCAAGGCACCCTGGTTGAAAAAGCCTGACTTAAAGGATGCTGATGTCGCCACCCTAACTGGAAAGTCAGGTAAAGATAGGAACCTGCAATGCCAATAGAGATCTAAGCCAACACAACAGACAATTTGGTATATACTTTTGACCACAGAGAGATGAGAGTCATTCTACTTGGACAGCATGCCCTGTGGTATGAATATCGGCAGAAAGAAATGCTTGGGAACAGGGGCGGACTGACAACTCATGGGGCCCCCGGGCAATAGGGGGTTTTGGGGCCCGTGTCCTTACCCACACTCAAAGCACACCCAAAAAAGCCTATAAAAGGTACCAGGGGCATTTCCTGGGGTCCCCTACTGACCCCGGGCCCTCGTGGCAGTGCCCGAGTGCTCAAATGGTCATTCCGCCCCTGCTTGGGAAGATGAGCCCAGGAAGTCCTGAACTTTTCAGAGGCAATGGGATAAACCGTACTGTGTTCACAAAAGCAAAATCTGTTGCCTCACCAATCTCAGGTTAAGGAAGAGTTTTGCGACCCTGGAAACCAAAATCAAACCAAGGTATTCCAAGCATTTAGAAAGGACACTACTATAGAAGGGGGTGATGGCTGCAAGCCAAGATTAGAAGATTTTAGCTAGCCTGAATTAAAAAAAAAAGCAGATAAGGAAAGTGAATTGAAGAAAGACCAATGACCCACCCCTGAAAAGACATTGCAGACCCCCTTGGGTATAAGCCTACTCACCAAACTACTGAGATGAATGCCTGGGTATGGGGGTGCGGTGTGACACTACGATATACAGGTTGCCAGCAGCAGTGAATTTCCCGGATATAGGGGGGCTCTAGGAGTGAGAAACCTATAGTCAGCTTTGATCGAGAGCAGAGTTGGAGAGAATATCCTACTCTTTCAGGACCCTAAGCACTGGGAGGAAATACAGTATGTCTAATTTGCTTACTGACCAACCTCCTAGGTGCAGGACATATATCCAGAGGGTGATTGTGTCCACCAGTGGACTCTGGGAGAAATAAAATTGTATCCTTTATAAACACGATTTATTGGTAGAGTGCCCTTACAGCTTGAGGTATATTCTGCACTAGGAAAAAAAACACAAATGCTTAACGAGGTTATCTAGGAAAGAAAACCTTCCACAAGTTTGAAGGTTGTTTAGCAATGTATAGAACTTGGCTCAGTGTTCATGGCAGAATAGAGTCCAGACAAAGATCTGAGGTGAAACGGATTGCTGGTGGAGACAGGGAATTCTTAAGATATTGTACATTTCTAAGTTATATATCACATGTAAGAAAGGTTGTGGATAGCATCACACGCACAAATACCTGACTACGTAGTAAATCTCCAGGCACAGGATTCTCATGATGAAAGCACAGGTTTCTAAGACACTCAGCTGTGAAAAAAAATTAAAAGTCATGTGACGGGAATCAAGATCATTCTTAAACAGTAAAAGGACAGATTCTGAATAAACTTACATCTGAAGAATCTGAAGGGGAAACAAGTGTTCCAAAGAGTGGTCCTGTCAAATTCTCCCAAAATCGTGGCCTGCGGAAATATGAATCAATTTGGTAACATATGCCTCAAGAACTCTCAATTTTCTGGACATAACTATACTACTCACTTTGTTCTCAGTACAGACATGGCACTGTCACGGCGATCTTGCCATAAGGCATGCAGGAAGGCAATGGCTGAACGGTGTAGCTGAGGGGTGCACCAAAACCGGTCTGATTTTTGTAAGTCAATTAGATCCAGAACAACCTGCAGACAACTCCACTGTCCCAAGCTGTATTCCTGTGTGGGGATTCAAAAGGAGTAAGTTAAAAGCAGTGCAGAGGGAGAGGGTTACAACTTCAGGCAAGCTTCAAGAGAAATTTACCCTCACTTTCCATTTGATCACAAGGCAGGCATTCCTCCCCAGTGAAGAGACAATTAGAAAAACGTGACAGAGGTTTTAATCTTTCCATGCTATATCCAAACCTAATTGATGAAGGTGATGAATGGTGAGGTCTTAACTGAAAGTAAAGATTCACTCTAAAAGGATAAGTGCACCTTTTATAACATGTTACACCCGTATTCAAGGTTTTACATGTTACTGATGCAGCAGCCCCCCAATCCCCCGTTGTGACAGTGGGCTGGGGATCTTCTCCCTGCACCCGCTGTCACAATTAAAAAATAAATAAAAATGTGGCCCTGCAGGGCTCTGCCCACCCAGATGTATCATTCATTCACAAAGTTCAGTGAATGGGAGAACTACAACTACCATCAGCCATTGTGGCTGACAGCTTGTAGTTCTAAATGAACGTCTAGGGCACCGACGAGCACTTTAGGTAGTTCATCGATCTTTCCTGTCATTCAGTAACTGTCTGCCCATATGACATACAGGTAGAAAGTTACACTGACAAGTCTGCAGGAGCCCGAAATTGCACCTGACTAAAATGATGGGTCCCCGAGGTGACATGCAGTTTGTTAACCAATAGTAAGCCAGAACATTTTAGAAAGTGGCTGAATTTCTGGAGCTCCGCTTTAAAGGTCAATAACTCCATTGACTGATCTAACAGAGCAAGGGCATGGGCACGTTGAAGTGAACAAATGTATGCCCCTGTACTTGTGTGAATGCCATTGTTTCTGTGCATCTCACAAATACACAGTCTGGACAGTACAAACATCCACAGCATGTGTTAGGGCTGCCAGTATTCTCTGCAATGTAGCAGCCTGTTACCTACCAATATAGAAGCCTCAAAATCCAAATTGAAGCAGAACAATATCCAAAAGGGAAACTTTTAAAAATATCAAAACTGGTAGGCACCATTCATTGAAGAAATATGTTTGGAAAACCATAAAACATAGCATCTTTGGCAATGAAAGAATCCTAAAGTGCTTTGTTTTCAGTCAGATGAGCTATTCCATGGCATAGGTCACACGGTCTGCCAGTGCAGTGGCCAACTGACATTAGCAGTCTTCAAAAGGGCAGACCATTCAGTCTCAGTTTGGGGAATTAAGAGATTGGGAGGGTTTGCTGATGTGATCACCCAGTTTTAAAAGATCATTTGACCTATGCCAAGAAATGGGTCCAGCGAATGCAAACAAAGCACTTTACAACTCATTCCTATTGCTATCCTGGAAATGTTTCCACTAAATTTACCTTAAGGCTAGGTTCAGATCTCCGTGTTCCTGAATGGACTCCCATGCCCCGGGACACGCAGGGAAGAAGTCCCTGCACTTCTTTGGAAAAACACAGCCTGCACGGGAAACTCGGTTCCCAGTACGTTTGCGATTTTCAATGCGGGCGGCGTACCATTAGAATTACTGGCACCTGCCCATGGGTCCGCATTCCTCTGTGCGGGTGGTGCGGCTGCACAAATTTTTGTGCGGATTCACAGTGGCACCACCCGCACAAATGTGAACCAGGGGTAAAATGGAACTTCACTTAAAAGTGAAAGTTCTTCTTATCCTCCTCCTCCCCCTCCACCACTATTGGTTCAAGTCCCAGGAGACTGTAGGACCATTCTGAAAGCGCAGTACATCTTGTACATGCTCAGTGGGAAGCCAGCTGTGAAACAGCAAGAAGTCACAACCAGCTTCCAACAATCAAGATGGGCTGCTGAGTGTCTGTTTATTAAAAGTCAGCAGCTACAGTATTTGGGGCTGCTGACTTTAAATTACAGAATACCCCATAACTCTTTAACCTAAAGCTAACATAGTCCATTTCCAGCAAGATTTATCAGGCTTAAAGCGTTTCTAGGTTGAAATACAACCTCCCTCTTCCCGACATTAAATGGGCTGGGACCAGTGAAAATACTTGGTCAAAATATTCACAGGCTGACATACAGTATATGGTTGCTTAAAACAAAATAGGAAAAACAGCACTTGTACAATGCCAGTATGATAAATTCAAACCACTCAGCAGGGATCCCTTGAGTTAGTTCAAATGAAAAAATGTATGTCTGACTGGAATGTATATTTACTTGTAATGCTCAAACACATTAAGGGAGCCTAATATAACCATACTTTATGACAAGGAAGACAAATGAATCACTCACTTTTGTTCCATCGCTCTTGTTTTTCACATCTAGGTTTAGGAAGAGTTCAATGAGACCTGGCTGGGTCTCCACAGCCACGGTAAGAAATTCCAGAGTCATAACCTTTATCTGCATATCCTCTATGCTGCACTCTAAGCGGTTCAAAAAAGCATCACGGATAGCAGCTGCATCACTTCCCAGGCAGGCGTACACAGACATGGGGGCCACCTGTGTAACAATTCATATGCATCAAGACATGTTATTAGTGATGTGCAGTAATTGTATGAAATCAGATGTGTTAAGTCAGACTGAAAACTGACAGACTGAAAACAAAACTGACTTTTTTCAGACTAATACAATTGGCTATTAAAGTGTTACTAAACCCGGGACCCTGCATTCATTCTATCTGGTCTCCCACAGTACACACAACATGGAAGTGCAATTATTTTAGCAGTTAGAGCAGTCTTGTGACTTCTATCAATGTTCAGCAGAGCACTGGTTAAAGCTTGTAGGCGTTTTCTTTCTGCTCTAGGAGGATGCAGAACCCTTGATTCTCTGTCTGGACAGTGCTGATTGGCCCTGTGCTGATCACATGCACTCTCCCAATAAAAAAAAAAACGTCTCCAGCAATACATACTATACAGAGCATGTGTACGTGACATTCAGTCTGTCTTATCAGGTGGACATTTGAACAAGAGGAGAGGTAGAGAAAACAGGATCAAACATCCTTTTTACACAATGCGGAGGATTAACCTTTCCACAGTGAGTACAACAAGCATGCTTTACTGCGTATACAGACTGATTTTACTGTGGTGGGTTTAGTAACGCTTTAAAGGCCAACTCTAGGCAAAATTTTTATTTTTTCATTTGTTTTTTTTAAAATGGTTCCTTTAGCAGCAGCCTAAAAGGCAGCACAGGCTAAAATATTCTGTAGCAGTCCTCACAGTACTTCCTTTTCACCATAAGGTGTTCTTGGTCTCCATGACACAGTGTTGGAGACCATTCATTCTGGAAGACTGAGGACATATAATGAATGCTGGGGTGTTATGGGCTCGCCCATTAAATGCACAGTTGTTAGCATAATCAGAGGGCCAACAGGAGAAGACCAAAGGAAAAAACCAAGGAGGTCATGTGACCAGACTTAAGAAACCTATAAAAAAAAAAAAAAAGAAAAGGCAACATTTCCTGCTGGTGGGCCTTCTGGGAACAGGGGTGCTGCTTGGTGCCCTAAGCCCAGATTTGGGCATTTATATAGGATAATAGGAGGTCTGCAAAGGGCAGTCTTGAAATTTATCCTTTAATTTAAAAAGTCCTTAACAAGTGTACCAGATTATGTACTGAAATTGGGTACTGGAACTGTTTAGACTATGGATGAAGATAACTGGTGCATAGCGGCACAGTAAGGTTCAAGTGACAGCTGTTATTCAATACCGTATGTTCAGCTATTTCCACAGGATTACCCTTACCACTTCAATACCGGGCACTTTCACCCTATTCCTGCCCAGGCCATTTTTCAGCCTTAAGCGCTGTTGCACTTTGAATGGCAATTAGTCATGCAACACTGTACCCAAATTACATTTTTAACATTTTTGTGAGACAGATAGAGCTTTCTTTTGGTGGTATTTAATTATCAATGGTTTTTTTTTTTTATTTTTTGCTAAACATAACGAAAAAAAAAAAACGTTTTTCTTAGTTTTTGTGATAAAATTTTGCACATAACGAGATTTTTTGTTAACCACCGTAAAACCCCTTTCTCTCAGTTCATTGATGGGCACGGCTCTCCCTAAACTTGATAAGGTTATATCACCCCCTAGAGGAGTAGGACACTAGGCAGAAAAGAAACTTAGCACAGCCTATAGGCAGTCCCTTCTGGTATAAAACCCCCCTCCTCTCTGCTAAAGGCAATATAGTTGGTAACAAAGCAGTGTCAGAAAGCTTAAATTCCCATAGAGCTGTGGGTGCTGTGTTCGTCAATGAACTCAGAGAAAGGGATTTTAGGGTAACTAAAAATCCTATTTCTCTTATGTTCATTGACGAATATAAATAAATAAATAAAAATTCCAGTATCTATACCACCATTTGTAGATGCTATAATTTTCACAAAAAACAATTAATTTACATGTATTGGGACTCATAGCGAACATATACCAACGAAAGAAAGCTCTATTTGTGGGGAAAGAAAGGACATAAATTTAATTTGGGTGCAGCGTTGCACGACCACGCAATTGTCAGTTACACAGTAACACAGCGCAAAAAATGGCCTGGTCAGGAACGGGAGTAAGTGGTTAATCTTGACCATAGGGATGTCCCCAAGCAGTGCCTCAATGAGGGGTGGACAAACCAAAAGGGAACTGGAGCAACCAGGCAAACACTCCAAACACCCAAACAACCCCTAAAGCAGTGTTTCTCAACTCCAGTCCTCATGGGACACCCAACAGGTCATGTTTTCAGGATTTCCCTCAGATGAAACAGCTGTGGTAATTACTAAGGCAGTGAAACTGATCAAATCACCTGTGCAAAATAATGGAAATCCTGAAAACATGACCTGTTGGGGGTCCATGAGGACTGGAGTTGAGAAACACTGCCCTTAAGGGACAAACAAGGCACCTTAAACAGTAGCCTTCAAATCCTTGTGGCCAAAACAAGAATCTGAAGACTCAAAAATATAAACTGTATAAACGTCAGTAAAAGTGTGCACAAACAACCAGGTAGCCACCTTGCAACCCTGAGACATAGGTGCCAGAGAGCAACAGAGGCACTAGTACCCTTGTGGAGCGTGCAAAAACGGGGGAAGAGGGATGCCTGCTCCTTAACAGTGTACGCCTGAACAAACGTCTGCCAGATTCAATCGGAAATTGTGGTAAAGGACGCCATCATGCTTTTCATTGGGCCGTCTGTGAGCATAAAAAGGCATCTGACCACTGGCAAGAGGCCGCAGTGGACAGGAATGCATGAACCCCATCCAAAGCATGCAACACAACCTCTCTAGAATGTGACTGTTGGACACAAGGAAGGCAGGACAATGTCCTTAGTTAGGTGAAAATTCAATACCACCTTCAGCAGAAAATGGGAGCACAGACGAAGAACTACATTATCCATGTGTAGAACCAAATAGGGAGATGTACAAGACCACCAGCTGAGACACTTGTCTTGCAAAAGAAATGGAGACCAAGGAGACAACTCTTTGAGAAAAAGTAAGCAAGGGAATAACCCAAATACTCTTCAAATGGAAGGCTTCTGGAGAACTGGCAGAACAAAAATCAAGTCCCATGGGGGTAACAGGGAGCACACGGGAGGCGCCAAAATGACAAACCCCTTGAAAAAATGGGCAAAGCAGGAACTGTGTGGCCAAGAGACAATGCAAAAAAGCAGCAAAGGGCAGAAACTAAAGCCGTAATGGTACTCAAGGCAATCTTTGTTCAATGTCCTATTGAAGAAAGGCCAATGCCCAAGCTACCAAAAAGAAATATGGCCTTGCACCTGGCAATAGAAGCCATCCAGGAGTGATAACAAACCATCTCAAGAGAAGGCATGCAAGCCCACAAGATTGTGGAGAACTCAAGCCTGACAACTCTCTGTCCCACAAAAGCTGGCTTACAATAGGCAAACGGCAACCCAGGGAGGTAGAACAGACACTAAAGTGGAGGAGCTGTCGACCAGGGTAACACTGACACGGACTCTGGCGCCAGGTCATAGGTGTCCCTGAGAGACGTTTTAACTCACTGGCCTTCCACAGTCCAGGATGGGGCTTTGTTGCAGCCAACCTAGTGCTTAGCTAAAGGTCTGACACACTCGTTGGCCAGACTGGGGTGACCACTGCATCTAGATTATCTAGCCAATCGCCCAGCCCGGCTGTTGACTGAAGATCTCTGCAGGAAAAAAATCCCAGGAAAAAGAAAAGAAACTACAGGTCCCAGCAGGGAACCAGTTCCTCCTCCTGAACACTAGGCTGTAAAAAAAAAACGGGATTTTTTGTTACCATAAAATCCTTTTCTTGGAGTTCATTTGCAGACACAGCAGCTTCTATTCGCGACCATAGGGTTATATCGCCACCTACAGGATTAGGACACTAGGCAGAAATAAGAAACTCGGCACCACCTATGGGCAAGTCCTGGCTGATATAAACCCCCTCTCTGCTTAGGCAAACCAGTTAGTCACAAGAGGTCAAAGAAAAAAATTACAGAGAGGTGGGTGCTGTATCTGTCAACTAACTCAAAGAAAGGGATTTTACTGTAACAAAAAAATCCTGTTTTCTCTTTCTTTCATTGATGGACACAGCATCTTCTATTCTCGACCATAGCAGTGCCCAACAAGTGAAGGGTGGGAGAAAAAACAAGGCCAACAAGAGCTCGACAGGAAAACAACTGCCCAGCCAGAACACACACCCCCAGGAGGGAACAGAATCTCAAATAGTCGCCTGCAAAACTTTGCGGTAAAAACACACGCCCGATGGCGCAAGGACATCCACCTTGTAAAACTTAATAAAGTTGTGCACAGACAACCAGGTAGCCGCCTAGCATAATTGAGGCACAGATGCTTGACGATGGAAGACCCAGGAAGCACTAAAAGCACGATTAGAGTATGCCATTAAGGGAAAGGGAGGAACCTGACCCATAATAGTATAGGCTTGAACCACCGTCTGTCTAATCCATCTAGAAATGGTGGCAGAGGATGCCACCAAATCCTTCCTCAGCCCATCTGTGATCACAAAAAGGGAATCAGCCTTCCGAAAAGACTCGGTAGCAGACAGATACACATGAATTGCCCAAACCACATCCAGGGCGTGCAGAACAAATTCCTTAGGATGTGAGAAGACGAGGACATAAGGAAGGTAGGACAATGTCCTCATTCAAATGAAAGGTAAAGACCACCTTCGGGAGAAAAGAAGGACATGGACAGAGAACCTGTCCTTGTAAACAACTAAACAAGGAGACCTGCAGAACAAGGTCACCAACTGGAGCAGAAATGATAGCCACTAAAAAGACCACCTTCTGGGACAGCGGAAGCAGGGGAATCTCCCTAATATTCTCAAAAGGAGGTCACTGAAGAACAGAATAACCTGGATTCAGATCCCAAATTGCCAACGGAGAGTGCACTGGAAGCACCACATGCCGAACTCCTTGAACGAAAGTACGGATCAAAGAGTGTGTGGCTATGGGACTTTGAAAGAAAATAGCTGGAGCAAAAATTTGGCTCTTGATGGTACTTAACATCAACTTTTTCTCAATGCCACGTTGCACAAAGGCTAATATCCTAGCCACCGAGAAGTAACGCAGATGAACACCCGCAGCCTCACACCACAAGATATACAATGGGGAAAACTAATTATTTGATCACCTGCAGACTTTGTAAGCTTGCCCACTTACAAAGAAATGAAGGGTCTGTAATTTTTAGCATAGGTGTATTTTAAATGATAGAGACAGAATATCAACCAAAAATCCAGAGAAAACACATGATACAAATGTTATAAATTGAGTTTCAGTTCAGTGAGTAAAATAAGTATTTGATCCCCTACCAACCAACAATAATTATGGCTCCCACAGACTGGCTATGTGCTCATGTGGTACACAGATTAGTCCTGTCAAGATGCTCCTAACGACAACTTGTTATGTGTATAAAAGACACCTGTCCACAGAATCTCTTTCTTGTGCACCACCATGGGCAAGACCAAAGAGCTGTCAAAGGACGTCAGGGACAAGATTGTAGACCTGCACAAGGCTGGAATGGGCATCGACAATCAGCAAGAAGCTTAGTGAGAAAGAGACAACGAGACAACTGTTGGAGCGATTATTCCCAAATGGAAGAAATACAAAAAAAACTTAAATCGCCCCTCGGTCTGGAGCTGCATGCAAGCTTTCACCTCATGGGGTAAAGGATGATCATGAGAAACATGAGGGATCAGCCCAGAACTACACAGGAGAAGCTTGTGAATGATCTCAAGGCAGTTGGGACCACAGTCACCAAACAAACCATTGGTAACACAAGTCGCCGCCATGGATTGAAATCCTGCAGCGCCCTCAATGTCCCCCTCCTCAGGAAGGCACATGTACAGGTCCAACTGAAGTTTTCCAACGAACATCTAAATGATTCAGAGAAGGATTGGGAAAAAGTGCTGTGGTCAGATGAGACCAAAATTGAGCTCTTTGGCATTAACTCGACTCGCCGTGTTTGAAGGAAGAAAAATGCTATGACCCTAAAAACACCATCCCTACAGTCAAGCGAGGAAGTGGAAACATTATGCTTTGGAGCCCCCCCCCCCCCCCCCCAACATATACGCACAAACGTAAAAGCACATGCTGGCACGCCTACTCATGAAAACGTCGAATGCAATACACGTTACATATCACCGCACACGCCAGAATGAGAGCAATAATTCCAGCACCAGACCTCCTCTGTAACGCTAAACTGATGACCTATAAGGGGCTTTAAAAGTGTTTAAAAGTATAGTAGTTCTTCCTGCGCTAAATGAACACAACCTAGACAGAGCTGCTAGCACCCCACCCTCATACCTCTACAAAGGATAACCACAGATAATGTACATATGGTGCAGGGCTAAATAAACATGAATAAATAGAAAATGCACTAAATACAATAAATTAAAACAAATAAATCCCAACATATGAATCCCAAAAAAACAGGACTTAAATTAAGGTGCAAAAAATCCTTAAAGTGCAATTAAGTGAACTAACAAATGGGTCATATTAACAGACCCTAATTGCTGTGAAACAACAAACCCAAATCCCAAAATTGGGATAATACACACCAATAGTGTAAACTAGGTGAATCCCTACAAATGGGAAAAATTCATTAGATAAAGTGACCAGTGTTAAAAACACAAATAAGTGTATACACTATACACACAGTGACAAAAACAATCTTATGTGTGGTGAACCAACATCAGATATGCAGTGAAACAAACAGTAAAACACTAGTCATACAAAACAACAAAAAGTCCTTCGGCCAAAACTGGCCGAAGAGGTGATCCGGCAATAGAGAATATTGTCATTGTGACTGATTCCGGCTTTCTGTCCACTGGTTCCTTAAAGGACGGAGACTCCTCCACAGGTATCAAAAGTGGACTTATTCAGCTGGAAATAGGAGGATCCACATCTTCAGAAGAGATTCTTTGAAGGGATAACACACGGCAAATCGCTTCGGGACCACAATCTCTTAGGACACTGCCAATCTTTGTATACAAATTTGTCAAAGCAAGACAGATAAGAGAACGCCTTTGCTGCACAAGGCAGCTTGTGTGTACCAAAGGGGACAGACTTATCCATGGTCGCCCCAGAGGCATCCTCCAACTTTAAGATTTCTCACCACGATGTGCATCCACCAACACCTTTTCATGTGCAACAACAGCAGCAGAGGACTCATCCTCACTATCAGAAGGGTCGGGGATCTCATCAGCTTGTCAGGCAGGGAGGATGTGAGCCCCCAGGGACAACCATCCCATCAGCACCCGCGTCCCACATTGCGTCTGGAAGGGGGGGGGGGGGGGTTTGAAGAGATCTTACCAGTCCAAGGAAGCGGCTGGTACGCTACATATCTGGTTCATGGACAGAACCACCTCTCCACCAGAGTGGACAGGCTGTCGGCCAGGAACTCACTGTGACACCGATATCTAAAGTCTGGTCATATATGCCCCCACGAGATGTTTAACTCACTGGCCGCCCCGGTCCAAATGGGGCTTTGTCCTGTACTACCCAGCGCGAGACTAGGGTCTGCGCATACTCGCTGGCAAGGCTGCGGTGACTGTTGGATCTACATTATCCAGCCCGTTGCCCAACCCAGCTGTTGATAGAAAGTCTCCTCAGAAAAAAAACCAGAGGAAATAAAAGAAAAAAAAGTGCTATGGAACCACAGGGTCCCAGTAGGGAGCTAGGTCACTACTCCCTGTCACTAGGCAGAAAGAACTGGATTGCAATAGGTGGTGCTGAGTTTCTCTTTTCTGCTTAGTGTCCTACTCCTGTAGGTGGTGATATAACCCTATGGTTGAGAATAGAAGATGCTGTGTGCATCAATAAACAAAAGAGTAAACTAGACTGCCTATAGCAGGGAGGGGGTTATATGCCAGAAAGAACTGCCCATATTCAGTGTGAAGTTTCTTTTTTGCCTAGTGTCCTACTCCTGTATGTGGCAATATAACCCTATGGTCAAGATTAAGAAGAGCTGTGCCCATCAAAGAACATAAGAGAAAGTAATTTTTCTTCTTCACTGATGTGCACTGGTGAGGCTTCACTGATACCAGCAGTGATTGGACACAGCTGATCACATGGTAAAGGGCCACTGTGATAAGCCCTTTACCCCAATCTGTGTTCAGCTATGTCCAAAAGGACAGCAGTCAAAGAGCGTGCCCAATGCGCACACGGGAGGATGTACCTCCATGGACATCCTCCCAGAGCTGGAGCGCTGTGCTGCGGCTGTCTTTTAGCTATACTGTAGTTGGGAACCGGTTAAAGTAAAAAATAATCTAAATGTATATTTAAAAAAAAAACATACAGTCATAAAAATATGTATTCTATTAACCCAAACCGTCATAGCACAAAAAAACACTTATAAAACAGTCTCTTACTGTAGCCAGACGTTTCAAAAGTTGGATAGCCAGCCGTGGTAGAGATGGATCATATTTATGGTAGATATATTTGGCCAGGACAGCAATAAGATTGTTCCCGTGAGCTCCTGGCAGGGGGATGACAACATGAAGATATGGTTCAGAAAGGTACAAGGATTACCACAAAGATGTCATGATTCATTGTATATCCTATAAAGGTCACATACCATGTTGAGTGAGTGCCTGTTCCAGAGGGGAAACACTGCTAGAGGAAGGCTTCAGTCTAATGACGTTGTTTGTGATGGAAAAGGCCAGTTTAACAGTCTGGATTAACATTTGGCCTTGTCCTTCGGTTCCACTGCTAAAATGCAAGATTTATCCAAAAAATAAAAAGGTAACGCATTAAAGTTATGACATCATTGTTAGGATAAATGAAGGATTCATCCAACACTGGCATTTCAGTTTTAGTGGATACTGGTGTATGGAATGAAATGATGGGTTCTATCTCTCATACAAGTCATAAAAATTTCCTGCAGTATGTGGTTTTCTCCCCCTTCTACACACAACTGAGGTTTAAAAGAGGATTTGGAACACAAATTATATTAGTATTTTAACACTGCACTGCCAACATAATTTTGAGCAGAAGACTCAGGCATATTTTCACAAGGCTCATCATTCATAAAGCTTTGGACATCTTAGACAACTGCAGTAATGCTTACCTGCCAGACTGAGATGCCATGACCAGGTTGATTGTATCAACTCCAATTCCCATAATATTAATAATAGCTTGTCCTGCCTCAGTATTAGTTAGTGTGTAGATGCACAAGGTCTGCAGGCTGGGGCTGCTGCTGTGGACAATATTTGTATTATTATTCAGTGTACACTGATGAACTGTCAGCCATATAATCAGGCTGCATTATCATAACACATACAATGTAAAAAGAAAAGGGAGGTGGGCAGTGAGCCTGTTGCATCACCTGCTGTGTTGATCTGTGTCAGGGCAGAGGTTAAGGATGGCATGAATCAGATTCAGCATCAGATAACCTGAAACAGACAGAGGTCTTAGAAAAAAATCAGGAATAAATATGAATGGTATAAGCATCAATATTGTTAGTTTTAGAACTACAAAAAACAAAAAAGGTAGTCATACCAAGGTTTTCTCTGACTCCATTAGAGTTATATCGCCACCTGTGGTAATTAGGAAGCATTTCGCGCAACACAAACATGATGCAAGGCACTAGACCTTGGCTTTGGGTACTGCCCAGCTGACCCTGGAAAGATAAAGAAAGAGCATTGTCATATACATACATAAAGACAAGGTAGCTGGCACAAAAGCAAAATCTGTTCAGAGGCTTTCAAGAGATTCATACCTTCACTAAGGTGGTGATGAGGCGGAGGAATGAAATGGTGACACTGTATTCACCCAGAGTCTGCTCAATTCCAAGTAGAGTCCCAAAGCCACCAGCACTCATACCTTCAGTGCTATCCACATGAAAACAAGGGTGGAGGAAAGCAAAGGAAAAGTCTTTGAGCAGGATCATGCATATAATATTTGAAAAGAATAGTGATGAGGGGAAAAAAAAGGAATATAGGCTGACAGAACAACAACTGACAATTTACAAAGCAGAACATTCAGGTGGATGCTTCCTGTACTATTGAAAATGTCTGTCAGATTATCCAAGTTGAATATGACTATACCATGACCTGGATAAATTAGAACCTTCATAGACATATTTGCAATCATTCTGGGGTGTATGCCTGAAAATGGCCCTGGGGTATGTTCCTGACACTCATTGGGGCTGAAGAATCAGCTTGGATAAGCTGCAAAACATCTTCAACAAAGCAAGTTGAATGTAGGAGAATCCACATGTACAAAAAGGAAATCTCTTTTGTATTCACCATAAAATAACTTTCTCAGTTAAAACAATCAAACCTCTTTGTTCTGGCTGTTGCCCATTTTGTTAGGGTTTCCCTCTTTGTTATTACTAGCTACTCCTGAGCTCTCATTTCCCTGCAACAGGTTAAAGCATGCAAACAGACGGGCATACCTATCTACTTTTTTTGCCATTTACCCAAAGGAAGTGTCCATTTACCTAGGGGAAGGGCTTATTCACAAATAAGCTTGCTGGGTCCCATAAAGAACTTTGCTGAAAAGCCTAGCTTCTAATCTCAACATACACTGAGTAGTGAATGTAGACCATAGAGCTGGGTCTTTCCAATGGGAGATTAACCACTTGCCAACCACGTTATAGCCGAATGACGGCTACAGTGCGGTTGTCCAGTTCTGGGAGGGCGTCATATGACAACTGATCACGTGATGTGGTAAAAGGCCAATCACAGCAGCCTTTTACTACGTGATCATCTATGTCCAATGACACAGCAGATCACCGGTAAATGCAGTTCCCGGTTATCGGCTGCACTTTCCTTAAGCTGTGACAGCGCGAGGAAAGTACTGCCAATAACCAGCAATTGTCAGAGGACAGATCGGCACCAATCATCAGGGCACTGATGACCAGTGCCCAGCAGTGCCACCCACCAGTGCTGCCCACCTGTGCCCAGCAGTGCCACCCACAAGTGCCCAGCAGTGCCACCCACCTGTGCTCATTAGTGCCACTCACCTGTGCCCATCAGTGCCACCCACCAGTGCCCCCTATTAGAGCCCAGCTGTGCCGTCAGTCAGTGCCAGCCATCAGTATCCATCAGTGCCCATCATTGTTGCATATCAGTGCAGCTTCATCAGTGCCGCCTCAGCTCATCAGTGCCACCTATCAGTGCTGCCTATCAATGCTCATCAGTGCTGCCTCATCAATGCACATCAGTGAAGGAGAAAAATTACCGTATTTTCCAGCGTATAAGACGACCCCCTACTTTTCCTGTTAAAATATAGGGTTTGGGCTATACTCACCGTATAAGACTACCCCTCTTCCAACTCACACCAAATAAAAATTAAAAAACATCAGATTTGATTTCAATATGGTATGCTATTTCAGTATGGTATTCCAATGATGGGGTGCTATTCCTCCCACTGACACCAATGATGGGGCACGATTCCTCGCTCTGACACCAATGATGGGGCACTATTCCTCCCACTGACATCAATGACAGGACACTATTCCTCCCACTGACACCAATGATGGTGTCCCATCATTAGTGTCAGTGTGTGAGGAATAGTGTCCCGTCATTAGTGTCAGTGGGAGGAATAGTACTCCATCAGTGTCAGTGGGAGAAATAGTGCCCCTTAATTGGTGTCAGTGGGAAGAATCGTGCCCCATCATTGGTGTCAGTGGGAGGAATAGCGCCGCCCCCCCTAAAAAGTGCCGCCCTGACACTGCAGGGTTTATTTATTAAAGCTGGAGAGTCCAAAATCAGACTCCCTTCTGCATAGAAACCAATCAGCTTCTAACCTCAGCTTGAGCTTGTTCAATGAAGCTTTGGCAATGAAACCTGGAAGCTGATTGGTTTCTATGCAGAAGGGAGTCTGATTTTGGACTCTCCAGCTTTAGTAAATAAACCCCCAAGTGTCAGCATGCCGTATACCGGCATATAAGACGACCCCCGACTTTTGAGAAGATTTTCATGGGTTAAAAAGTCGTCTTATACGCCAGAAAATACGGTACCTGTTTGCAAAATTTTATAATAGAAACAAAAAAAAAAACTTTTTTTTTTAAATTTTTTGCCCTTTGTTTATAGTGCAAAAAATAAAACACCCAGTGGCGATTAAATACCACCAAAAGAAAGCTCTATTTGTGTGAAAAAATTATAAAAATGTCATATGGGTACAGTGTTGCATGACCCGCGCAATTGTCATTCAAAGTGCAACAGCGTTGAAAGCTGAAAATTGGCCTGGGCAGGAAGGGGGTATAAGTGCCCGGTAGGCAAGAGGTTCAAGTATTTCTGTCAACTGACATGCTTTATCACACTAGAAAAAAATGGGAAGCCATCTATGTTGCACATAATAACCATTTAGATTTACAGCTGATTCACACATGTGTGGTGCGGATTGAAGCTCAGGTTTCACAGCTAAATGATACAGTAGTTGTTCACTGGTTCATGTCAGGTTTACATCAGGTTCAGGACAGGATTAGCTCTCAGGACTATCCTGTTCACACATATGCGGTTTAGAAACGGTTCCCATAGAAGTCAATAGCCTGTAATCAACACCAGACCACACTGCTCACAAATCGTACATGACTCTTTTTTTCAAACTGCACTGAATCTGCACCGCCATTGCACCGGACATGTGTAAACAGGCACCATGGGAAGCAGTGTTTTTTCACATGACATCCAGATATATGAGAACCGGCACTTAATAGGGTCAGCCAATACGGTTTTTGTTATGCACACTCGGTTTTGGGCCTACTTGTTTTGAAAAGTTTACAAAAACATTGTTAAATAAAAATTATCTGAAAAAAAAAAAAAAAAAAAAGGAGGGTGGGGTGGTCAATGATCACAAAGCAACATTTTAGTTTAAGTGGAGCCTTGAGCTAAATCAGCCCCTGGATTCTTAGGTTTTGTATAATCAAAATCTGTTCCTTGAAATTCTGGGTGCTCCTATATACCTTAGCATACCCCAGCTGCTCATGTTGCATTTTCCATAGCTTTAAGTAAACAATACAATTGGCCAAATATAAATATGCTTCAAACCACTGCTTTTCCCTCCTACTACCTATGCTGTATAATGCTGGTAAAACAGATCTGGGTGAATTATATTTATATATATTGGGCAGCACAGTGGCTAAATGGTTAGCACTTCCGCCTGGCAGTACTATGGTCGCTGGGTAAAATCCCAGCCACGGCACCTCCTGCCTGGAGTTTGCATGTTCTCCCTGTGCCTGCGTGGGTTTCCTCCAGGTACTCTGGTTTCCTCCCGCACTCCAAAAACATGCTGGTAGGTTAATTGGCTCCTGTCTAAATTGGCCCTAGTATGTGTATGTATGAATATGAGTTAGGGACCTTAGATTGTACACCCCTTGAGGGTTAGGGACTGATGTGAATGTACAATATATATGTAAAGTGCTGCGTAAATGGACAGTGCTATATAAGTACCTAAAATAAATATATAAATATATATATATATATATATATATATATATATATATATATATATATATACATACATACACACATACACAGTTGTGTTCAAAATAATAGCAGTCAGACATCACTAACCGGATCAATCACTGTTTTTGGTAGAAATGATATTTCTACATGGCAAATAATTTACTAGCAGGTGTAGTAGAGTAATAGAAATCCAACAGACCCAACAGTCATGACATGCATGCTGCTGATTCTGTGTAATTGAATCACTAATTGAAAGGGGCTTGTTCAAAATAATAGCAGTGTGGAGTTCTATTAGTGAGGTCATTCATTCTGTGAAAAACAGGTGGCAATTATTGCCCTTATTTAAGGAAGGAAGGCAGAAAATGTTGTACATACTGGTTACAGTGCATTTCTCTCTGAAATTCTGAGGAAAATGGGTTGTTCCAGACATTGTTCAGAAGAAAAGCGTACCTTGATTAAAACGTTGATTGGAGAGGGGAAAACATATAAAGAAGTGCAGAAAATGATAGGCTGCTCAGCTAAAATGATCGCAAATGCTTTAAAATGGCAACCAAATCCTGAAAGACGTGGAAGAAAGCGAAAAACTACCATTCGAATGGATAGAAGAATAGCCAAAATGGCAAGGACTCAGCCAACAATCAGCTCCAGGAAGATCAAAGAAGGTGTAAAGTTCCCTGTGAGTACTGTTACAATTAGAAGACACCTATGTGAAGCCAAGCTATCTGCAAGAAGCCCCCGCAAAATCCCACTGTTGGAAAAAAGACATGTGCTGAAGAGGTTACAATTTACCAAAGAGCACATTGACTGGCCTAAAGAGAAATGGCGCAACATTTTGTGGACTGATGCAAGTAAGATTGTTCTTTTTGGGTCTAGTGGCCGGAGACAGTTTGTCAGACGACCCCCAAACACTGAATTCAAGCCACAGTACACTGTGAAGACAGTGAAGCATGGTGGTGCAAGCATCATGATATGGGGATGTTTCTCATACTACGGTGTTGGGCCTATTTATTGCATACCAGGGATCATGAATCAGTTTGAATACATCAGAATACTTGAAGAGGTCATGCTGCCTTATGCTGAAGAGGAAATGCCCTTGAAATGAGTGTTCCAACAAGACAACGACCCCAAACACCCCAGTAAACGTGCAACATCTTGGTTCCAGACCAACAAAATTGACGGAGTGGCCAGCCCAATCCCCGGAGCTTAATCCAATAAAAACTTGTGTGGTGACATCAAAAATGCAGTTTCTGAGGCAAAACCAAGAAATAGAGAAGAACTGTGGAATGTAGTCCAATCATCCTGGGCTGGAATACCTGATCACAGGGGCCAGAAGTTGGTTGACTCCATGCAACACAGATGTACAGCAGTTCTCAGAAACAGTGCTTATACAACTAAATATTCATTAAGTGATTCAAAGGAAAGCAAAATCTTCAAACATTTTTCAGTTTATATAGTGAATGTTTGAGTTTGTAAAGAAGAATACAAACACTGCGATTTTTTTGAACAGTCTAATATTCACTTTTCTTCAATTTATTTAAGGGAACAACACAAATTTGATTTATTTTTCTTCATGTTTTGATTTGGAATAGAATGTGTCGTGTTCCCAATGCATTTGTGTGTATGGAAATAAAAGCTATTATAAGGATTTGGAGCTTTATTCACTTTTTTCAACACACTGCTATTATTTTGAACACAACTGTATATATATATTAATAAGGTGCTTGCACAGATCTTTTTTCAGCAGCACTATACAGCATAGGTAGGAGGGGGGGGGAAGCTGTGTTTTTTTATGTGTAGCCTTTACTTCTATTTTAGGTCTTTAAGAGGCAAATGCCACAATAGGTGCGCAGACACAGGAACTTAGGCAGATATATAGTATTAGTTTCCTTTTTTTTTACATGCCCAAGATTTATGTATTCACTGTCAAATCCTATTCTTGGAATCCACTCAAGGACAAAGGAAGTAATTTAACCTTTGGGTTATAGTAGTACCTATAGAAAGGTTGGGTATTGGCAAACAAAAAACTGTAGGCCAGCCCAGCAAATGTCCTCTCACTACCAGCATGCCTTAGTGTTGTAGAAAGGTTGTACTAGAGCACGATGATAAAACACAGTATCTTCCAACGGACTCCAAGAAATTTACAGTAAGTACGAAAATTACAATTGTGTCTCACCCATTCAGGGACATGGGGGGGGGGGGGGGGGGGGTCTAACATTTGGATGTCCAAAAGGGTGCAAAAAAACAAAATACAAATGCTAACAGGTACAAAATAACAAAAAAGAACTAGGGGCTGCCTGAAACTCAAAGGACTGTCTGAAAGATGCCAAAGTATCATGAGGTGCAGATGCAATGTCCACCTGGTAGAACTTAGAAAAAGCGTGAACAACCTGTGCCATAAAGCCAGGACAACATTGTTCTCAATGCCAAACAAAATCAGTCTGCCCAGGAACTGCACTGACTTGTGCCATGACAACAGAATATTGCATTGCAGAGATCAGAAGTGAAACTTGGAAAACAAGGCTGCCTCAAAAGGAGGCTACAGTCAGACACAAGGCTCTCATGCAAAAGCAGATTCAGACGACTTCTGGATTGAAGAGCTTAAATCAGAGATCGGATAGTCTAAAATATCATCTGGCATCTCTGATGAAGGGGTCACATACCTAATGAAGGGGTCCTGTGAGACTCCAATATGTTGCTCTTGCTGTAACTGTGTGATCGCTTATTAAAGCTTCGGGCCCATAGTGGAGATCGTCGATGTGCTGGTGACATTCTTCTCCTTTGATTCTTCTCAGTCCCAGCCCATGTTCGCTGCAGCACCTGTTTATACACACAGCCATTTCTTAACGCAGGAACGTGTGCGTTGGGATTGTGCATTTTCATCCCCCCACCTATGAGACAGGTCCTGGTACACTTCTGGGTGTAGGAACCACTCCCCCCCAGAATCCAGAAGCTGCCAGTTAAGTCTGCCTGCCAATTATCTATGCCTGGAATGTACAGAGCAGACTAGGTTGAACAGGAAAGTTCCGCTCAAGACAGGATCCGGTCCACCTTCAGCAGCAGTAAGTCTCCTGGTTCCTCTCGGATGATTGATATACACCACTGGCGTGACATTGCCCATCTGAGTCAGGATCAGATGACACTCCAGTAAGATGGTCCAACACTGAAGAGACAGCCAAACTGATCAAAGTTTCAGGATGTTAATCAGTGGTCAAGACTCCTCCATCGACCAAGTCTCTGACAGGTTCCCTGGCCTCCTCCCAAGACCAACCAACAGCATAGCGGATGACACAAAAATCCTCCAAATGACAGGAAGGAAGGACCTTCTCAAGTCCAGAGCAGGATTCCTGAGCCGCCAGGCCAGGGCCAACCTGGCGCTCAGTGATAGACAAATCAGTCAAGTCCAGGGACCAGATTAGCTTGTCCCACAACAGAACATTGTGTTGTAGAATTCAGAAGTGGAATTTGGCAATTGAGACTGCCTTAAAACAGGCTATAGTCAGACTTAAGAATCTCATGTAAAAGTTGAGTTGGGCAGCTCCTCGACTGCTGAATTCAGTCTCAGAAGTTTCTCCTATAGAAGGCCTAAGCTTTGTCCTGGACTAGACCCAAATACTTGAAACAATGAGTATGTTTCAGCAACTATTTCTGAAAGTCCATGATCCATCTGAATCATTGCAATGTCTAGATGGTTAATGTTGCGTAGTCCTTGAAAGCCCATGCTGACCGATCTCAACAGAAAGCTGCCTAAGTATCCTACAAGAACGTAGCAAGGCCTAGCACTGTAGTGAATACTAGAGGCTGATTGCCAGGGGTCACAAATTGGTAATGCAGGAGTCCCACAGCAAAGTGTAATAATCACTGATGGAAATATGAGGACATGTACTGCAAGTAAGCAATCATCTTTGATGTTCACAGAAGCCAAAAGGTCTCCCTGGTGAAAAGAAGTCATGATACATTTGGTAGATTCCATTCAGAATTTTTGAACTTGCACGACAATATTCAGAGCTTCAAGATCTAGAATGGGATGAATGTCCATATTGGGTGTGTAAAGAGCGAACAGGTTGCAGTAAAACACCTGGAACCATTCTTCCACTGAAACTGGGGCTATGACAACCTAATCCAGAAGAACTGAGAGGGCTGGATGAATATCTGACAATCTTTGTGATGACAGAGGAAGGTTGGAAGTGAGGAAACTAGGAAGCAGAAAGTAAAACTCTAGTTTTTTCCACCCAGGATCTGAGATGCAAACTCCGCAAAGTTAGCAAACAATCCTCCGCTCTGGAAAGTGGGAGTACACCGTTATGCAGAAGACGACTTGTCTGAGGATTTTGTAAAGTCTGAGCTCCAGGACTTGTGGGTGGTTAGGGAAATTGAGAGAGTGGAGAAACAAAAAGGGCATTTCTTAAAACATGGGCAGAACAGGTCTGTTTCTTAGGTTTTTACCACCGTGGAAGATGTGTGCACGTGCTACCATGATCACATGGGTGCTCAACCTGTGGCCCTCCAGTTGTTGCCAAACTACAAGTTCCATGAGGCATTGCAAGGCTAACAGTTACAAGCATGACTCCCAAAGGGATGGGACTTGTAGTTCCACAACAGCTGGAGGGCCACAGGTTGAGCACCCATGAATGAGGAGGTTGTCAAGACCTGGTCTGAAGAAACGTTATCCATCAAAGGCCATGCAGATCAAATGCTTTTTATACAAATGTTCAGACTGCCCTACACAAATGTACTGATAGGAAAGACATACAAGAGATAAGATGGAAGGCTTTGAGCAAACCACCACAGCTGAAATTTATCATCAAAGCTGTCTGCTCCACATGTTCTATAAGCAAAGGATCAAACTCAGCAGCTGTTTTAGTCCTGGTTCACACTACATGTACGCTGTGGGCTGACTGAGGGTGCAGGAATCACACCTGTTCCCACATCCGCAACTACCCGCAGCCACATTGCATTTCTCTCTGAATGGCACCCCCAGGCATCTCATCCTACAGTGCAAATGTGAGTGAGGAAATCCCATGGTCAAAAAAGACCATGCTTTTCCATGCAGATGCGTTTTGGAAAAGGTGCACGCACCTCCTTCTTGCATGTAAAACAGGCACAGCAGCCCATTCTCTTACTGGAATAGTAAGCACATTGTTAAGGTGGGACATTGCCATATATGCACATTGGGAATAAACCGCTCCTGCACAAATCCCTTCAACAGTAAATATTTTGGGGTCGGAAACAGCTTTTTTGGGATGTTTCCAAACTCCACAGAAAAATAGTTGAAAACGTTGGTGCAAAAGGAAAATCCCTGCAGCCTTGGGAGTTTTATCAACCAAGACTGAAAACAACGCTGGTAGAAGCAACAGCCTGATCCTCACCCACTGCATCAACAAGAGCTGAAATGGTCTCCTTAAATATGGGGGTAATTGCACTGGACTTACTAACGAGCTTACCCCTGAGGACTCGCAAAGGCTGGAGCAACTCAGAATCAGACACAGTACTTGTGACCAATCTCCTGGAGTCTGCTAAGCCTGAAGGCAAATCGGATACAGAAACTGCTGCAGAAGAGGTGCGGGAGTCTGTTTAAGGCTTCTGCAACCAGTGTCCACAAATAACAGGGTGAAATGAGTCACGGTCTTGCTTGACCCTGGCAAAACCATTAGCCAAGAGGGTCCAGCCACATTCAATGGCACACAAAAGGACTCTGAGGACAGAACAGCCTCTAAGCAGTGTTAAAAGGTGACTGGATGACTATGTGGAACCATGTATGCATTCCTTCCCTCTAATGTTTTAAAGCAATGTTCTTTATAAGCACCATTGTTACATTACAGGTGGTCTTGGCACAAACAATGGTAATTAACAGTCCACAGAGACAAAGGCTGAAAACTGATTGCTTCTGCAACCATAATGTAATTTCATATCAACAGGCTACTTCAAGCTTAAATTTCAAAATATACCTGATAATGTGGCCCGAGATGGGATTAGCAGCGGATGGCAAGAATCCAGTGTGATGCAAGTCTATCCAAACCTTGAACCATAACAACAGAGGAATCCATTTTTATCAAACTACCCATGAATGTCTGTACACAGCAACAAAGATTAAACTTCCAACATCATTAACACCATTCTCACCTTTGCAGGCATACGTGTCGCCAACACAGTCAGGCAGTTGACACATGAGGCTATGAAATCCATAGGTGGGTTCATAACAGTTGTTAATCTGCAAATAAAGACAACATGTGAGGAATTCTCATAAAACGAACCTGTCTTATATTCAATTTTTTTGTGTCTTACGCTTAGAATGCTTATAGTTAGATGTATTTCCTGAGCTCTTACTATACTGTTTCATACTACATAACCATTTGTCAATTGTACTTTTGTAACCTAATGTTCTAATAAACACTTTGAACAAAAAATGAACCTATCTGAACAGAAAAATGGGAGTATACTGCCATCTTGCTCTTGATGTTAGAGGTCAATGAAGACCAACATGTATGTCCTGGGTTTGTCTAAGTAGTAAATCAAAGATGACAGCCTGGAGCTTCTGACCTTATACCAAGTTGGCAACAGCATCTCCATACTTCTATCCAGACAGTTTCCTTTAACCACTTGCTCTCCAGAAGATTTACCCCCCTTCCTGACCAGGTAATTTTTTTGCGTTACAACGCTGCGTTACTTTAGCTGACAATTGCGTGGTCATGCAACACTGCACCCAAATTAAATTTATGTCCTTTTTTTTCCCACAAATGGAACTTTCTTTCAGTGGTATTTGATCACCTCTACGGGGGATTTGTGCTATAAGCAAAAAAAGACTGACGATTTTGAGCAAAAAAAACTATATTTTTGACTTTTTGCTATAAAACATATCCAGTAAAAACATTTAAAAAAAATCAAATTTAGTCATAAATTTTGGCCAAAATGTATTCTGCTACGTATTCGGCTACAAAAAAAATCCCAATATGTATAAATTTATTGGTGTAAGTGAAAGTTATAGCGTCTACAAATGGCGATATATATACAGGATTTTTTTTTTAATACTAGTAATGGCGGTGATCAGCGACTTATAGCGGGACTGCGGCGGGCATTCTGACTTTGGGGGGGAACTGACTAACTTTCACTGACATCCCCAGTGACACTAATACAGTGATCAGTACTAATAAAAAGCACTGACACTGTACTAATGACACTGGGCAGGAAGGGGTTAACACCTGGGGTGATCAAAGGGTTAACTGTGTGTGTGTGTTTTACTATGTGCTGTGTGTGTTTTACAGTGTAAGCACGCTGCTTTGTATTGCTCTGCTATGCAGAGCAATACAAAGCAGCGTGCTGGAGCTGACAAGTGAGAGATCTGTATTGATTACATACAGACCTCACCCCTGTCAGTGATACTCAGTGATCGTCGGGTGCTGGTGGGGAATCACTGGTCGGTACCCGGTGGTTGACAGCTGAAGCCACCAATGGCGGCGCCCCCTATCCGGAAATGCAAAATCACACACACATACATATATATATATATATATATATATATATATATATATATATATATAATTAATTAATTAATTAATTATACACACATGATTTTAAGCAGTCATGCCACCTTGTAGCAGTATTTCTGCTATAGGGCGATGGGCAAGCAGTTAAATACTTGTCATCCTGTGTCTGCTAAAAAAACAAAAAAAAATTACTGGTGTCCACAGTTTTCTCCTTGCTCACCTACCTCTGTAACAGCATGTACATGCGGGATGTAATAGGTAGGAGATAGTCAGCTATGGACAGGTCAATACTGATAACTTTGTGCACAAGGTCTACGATTGGTTTCACTCTGTGACAGTGCTGTATGACATCTGGAGAAACAGAAGGTAGAGTTAAAGCGAGCAGAGCGACACAGTGGCAGAGAGTAAGATTTCACTTGTATCTCACCTGCTGTGGACACAACATGAAGGAGCATTTCAATCTCACAGGTAAACAGGGTCCAGCTACTAAACGAGTATTCCCAGCGAACAAGGAAACCATTGTCATCAGAAATCACCTGGCCAACCGTCCCCTGAGGTATGCGCAAGTTAGTCTGTCCCTGTCCTGTAATGCAAAGGAAACCTTGTTAAATGGGGTTTTCTCTATCAGCAAGGCAGTGGAAATTCTGTAGAAAATTAGTCCAATGGTGGGCAGTGGAGTCTAGTGACTGGCCAATCGAAGTTGCATCGGGGGTGGGAGAGAAGCACCACAATCTCCCATAGTAAAATCACATTTCCTGCAACCAGTGTTTTGTTCCAGAATGCTAAATCAGGCAAGTACATTAAAAATATGTAGCTACTTGCTATGTACCCTCTTACTGAAATTGCATCACCTGTATGTACTCCTAAAAATTCAAAATAAAGAATTTTAAAAATATACAGCAGGTATAAGTATTGAACATGTCACTATTTTTCTTAGTAACTGTAAAGGTGCTATTGACATGATATTTTCACATGATGGTAACAACCCATGCAAACCATACAAACAAATAAGTTCAGAAATTAAGTTATGTGTAATAAAATGGAATGACACAGGGAAAAAGTATTGAACACATGAAGAAAGGGAAGTGCAAAGCAGCATGGAAAGCCAAGACACCAGCTGAAATCTATCGGTAATTAGAAAGCAATCCTGCCCCTTGTCAGTGCAAATTAATATCAGCTGGTTCAGTCTCAACTGATGGCCTATAAAAAGGTGTCTCATTTCCAAGGTGTCGCACAAAAAACATCTTACAATGGGTAAAAGCAAAAAGCTCTCTCAAGACCTTCACAGTCTTATTGTTGCAAAACATACTGATCAGAATTCATAGAAGAGGTCCATGGAGCCTTCAAGATTTGAAGACTGCGTGGAAGAGCAGGACAAAATCACACCTGAGCAATGCATGTGACTAGTTTCTCCATACAGGAGGTGTCTTGAAGCGGTCATTACCACAAAAGATTTTGTACGAAGTATTAAATACATTTCAGTTAGTGTGTTCAATACTTTTTCTCCTGCGTTGTTCCATTTTATTACACATAACTTAATATCTGAACTTATTTGTTTTGGTTTCTTTTTTTGTATGGATTGCATGGGTTGTTACCGACAGGAGGCAAAAATTTAATGTTAGTAGCACCTTTAGAAAGTTACTGAGAAAAATGGTGACGTGTTCAATACTTATTTTACCCGCTGTATACAGGTGAAACTCGAAAAATTAGAATATTGTGCAAAAGTTCATTTATTTCAGTAATGCAACTTAAAAGGTGAAACAAATATATGAGATAGACTCATTACATGCAAAGCAAGATAGTTCAAGCCGTGATTTGTCATAATTGTGATGATTATGGCTTACAGATCATGAAAACCCAAAATCCACAATCTCAGAAAATTAGAATATTACATACAATCAATAAAACAAGGATTGTACATAGAACAATATCGGACCTCTGAAAAGTATAAGCATGCATATGTACTCAGTACTTGGTTTGGGCCCCTTTTGCAGCAATTACTGCTTCAATGCGGCGTGGTATGGAAGCTATAAGCCTGCGGCACTGCTGAGGTGTTATGGAAGACCAGGATGCTTCAATAGCGGCCTTCAGCTCTTCTGCATTGTTCGGTCTCATGTCTCTCCTCTTTCTCTTGGCAATGCCCCATAGATTCTCTATGGGGTTCAGGTCAGGCGAGTTAATCCCACGGTCATTGAACCAGGTTTTGGTGCTTTTGGCAGTGTGGGCGGTGCCAAGTCCTGTTGGAAAATGAAGTCAGCATCCCCATAAAATATAAAAGTTGATGCAGCGCTAAAGATTCTAATATCTAAACAAAATTGATATAAATGAATGTATATAAATATATATGACCCAAATCCACAGGGGAAATACACTAGAACCAATAACTCTCTGGTCTGGATGAATACTGTCCTGGTTCATGTGATGTCTTCCTACCTTAAAAGTCACTGAATTGGAGGATCTCGAGGTGATTTACAGAATGCTTTGTGGCCCTGTAGGGTCATAGAGTGGAGGTGAGAGGCCACTGCAGCTAGACTGCCTGGGATCACGTTTGGAGTGTGCTGTGATTCACCTGCACTTCTTTATATATACGAACTATGGACACGTTATCCTGCACTTAAACCACTGTTATTTGTCCATTGAGAGTTATTGGTTCTAGTGTATTCCCCTGTGGATTTGGGTCATATATATTTATATACATTCATTTATATCAATTTTGTTTAGATATTAGAATCTTTAGCGCTGCATCAACTTTTATATTTTATGTATATTGCCTTTGCTTGGTATGGGATAGATGCTGGCTGCTTTTTAGTTTGTTCCACGGTTTACCATAAGAGCGCAGGAGGATATATATCTATGTGATTTGTTTAGCATCCCCATAAAGCAGCGGTTCTCAACCTGGGGGTCGCGACCCCTTTGGGGGTCGAACGACCATTTCCCAGGGGTCGCCTAAGACCATCGGAAAACACATATTTCCGATGGTCTTAGGAACCGAGACACCGCTGCTCTGTCTCGCGATCTGTGGGCGGGATGATATGCTGCCCCTGTAACCTGGCCACACCTCCGGGATCACTCAACAGCTCCGCCTCCTCGCCGCTGATTGGCCACCGGAACTGTAGCTCAGGAGAGGCACACAGGCGGCCAATCACCGGCGAGGAGGTGGAGCTTGGAGAGGAGGAGCCGAGCGGCAGAGCGCGCAGATGGAAGAAGATCGAGGGAGCTGCAGGACCGAGTGAAGAGGAGAGAGAGGCCAGAGAAGGAAGACAGATGACAGGTAAGTGCAAATTTTGCTTCTGCAGGCTGTAGATGGGAGAGGGAGAGAGCGAGCCCAGGCTGGAGCAGGGTTCAGCAAGGTAAGTATCATTGGTGTCAGTGGGAGGAATAGTGCCCCATCATTTGTGTCACTAATACCAACGATGGGGCACTATTCCTCCCCCCACTGACACCAACGATGGGGCACTATTCCTCCCCCCACTGACACCAACGATGGGGCACTATTCCTCCCACTGACACCAACGATGGGGCACTATTCCTCCCACTGACACCAACGATGGGGCACTATTCCTCCCCCCACTGACACCAACGATGGGGCACTATTCCTCCCCCCACTGACACCAACGATGGGGCACTATTCCTCCCCCCACTGACACCAACGATGGGGCACTATTCCTCCCCCCACTGACACCAACGATGGGGCACTATTCCTCCCCCCCACTGACACCAACGATGGGGCACTATTCCTCCCCCCACTGACACCAACGATGGGGCACTATTCCTCCCCCCACTGACACCAACGATGGGGCACTATTCCTCCCCCCACTGACACCAACGATGGGGCACTATTCCTCCCCCCACTGACACCAACGATGCGGCACTATTCCTCCCACTGACACCAACGATGGGGCACTATTCCTCCCACTGGCACCAATGATAGGCACTATTCCTCCCCCCACTGACACCAACGATAGGCACTATTCCTCCCCCCACTGACACCAACGATGGGGCACTATTCCTCCCCCCACTGACACCAACGATGGGGCACTATTCCTCCCCCCACTGACACCAATGATAGGCACTATTCCTCCCCCCACTGACACCAACGATGGGGCACTATTCCTCCCACTGACACCAACGATGCGGCACTATTCCTCCCACTGACACCAACGATGGGGCACTATTCCTCCCACTGGCACCAATGATGGCACTATTCCTCCCCCCACTGACACCAACGATAGGCACTATTCCTCCCCTCACTGACACCAACGATGGGGCACTATTCCTCCCCCCACTGACACCAACGATGGGGCACTATTCCTCCCCCCACTGACACCAACGATAGGGCACTATTCCCCCCCCACTGACACCAACGATGGGGCACTATTCCTCCCCCCACTGACACCAACGATGGGGCACTATTCCTCCCCCCACTGACACCAACGATGGGGCACTATTCCTCCCCCCACTGACACCAACGATGGGGCACTATTCCTCCCCCCACTGACACCAACGATGGGGCACTATTCCTCCCCCCCACTGACACCAACGATGGGGCACTATTCCTCCCACTGACACCAACGATGCGGCACTATTCCTCCCACTGACACCAACGATGGGGCACTATTCCTCCCACTGGCACCAATGATAGGCACTATTCCTCCCCCCACTGACACCAACGATAGGCACTATTCCTCCCCCCACTGACACCAACGATGGGGCACTATTCCTCCCCCCACTGACACCAACGATGGGGCACTATTCCTCCCCCCACTGACACCAACGATGGGGCACTATTCCTCCCCCCACTGACACCAATGATAGGCACTATTCCTCCCCCCACTGACACCAACGATGGGGCACTATTCCTCCCACTGACACCAACGATGCGGCACTATTCCTCCCACTGACACCAACGATGGGGCACTATTCCTCCCACTGGCACCAATGATAGGCACTATTCCTCCCCCCACTGACACCAACGATAGGCACTATTCCTCCCCTCACTGACACCAACGATGGGGCACTATTCCTCCCCCCCACTGACACCAACGATGGGGCACTATTCCTCCCCCCACTGACACCAACGATGGGGCACTATTCCTCCCCCCACTGACACCAACGATGGGGCACTATTCCTCCCCCCACTGACACCAACGATGGGGCACTATTCCTCCCCCCACTGACACCAACGATGGGGCACTATTCCTCCCCCCACTGACACCAACGATGGGGCACTATTCCTCCCCCCACTGACACCAACGATGGGGCACTATTCCTCCCCCCACTGACACCAACGATGGGGCACTATTCCTCCCCCCACTGACACCAATGATAGGCACTATTCCTCCCCCCACTGACACCAACGATGGGGCACTATTCCTCCCCCCACTGACACCAATGATAGGCACTATTCCTCCCACTGACACCAATGATGGGGCACTATTCCTCCCACTGATACCAATGATGGGGCACTATTCCTCCCACTGATACCAATGATGGGGCACTATTCCTCCCACTGACACCAATGATGGGACACTATTCCTCCCACTGACACCAATGATGGGACACTATTCCTCCCACTGATACTAATGATGGGGCACTATTCCTCCCACTGACACCAATGATGGGACACTATTCCTCCCACTGACATCAATGATGGAGCACTATTCCCCCCACTGACACCAATGATGGGGCACTATTCCTCCCACTGACACCAATGATGGGGCACTATTCCTCCCACTGATACCAATGATGGGGCACTATTCCTCCCACTGACACCAATGATGGGGCACTATTCCTCCCACTGATACCGATGATGGAGCACTATTCCTCCCACTGACACCAACGATGGGGCACTATTCCTCCCACTGATACCAACGATGGGACACTATTCCTCCCACTGACATCAGTGATGGGGCGCTAGTCCTCCCACTGATACCAATGATGGGGCACTATTCCCCACTGATACCAATGATGGGGCACTATTCCTCCCACTGACACCAATGGCGGGACACTATTCCTCCCACTGATACCAATGATGGGACACTATTCCTCCCACTGATACCAACGATGGGACACTATTCCTCCCACTGACATCAGTGATGGGGCGCTAGTCCTCCCACTGATACCAATGATGGGGCACTATTCCTCCCACTGATACCAACGATGGGACACTATTCCTCCCACTGATACCAATGATGGGGCGCTAGTCCTCCCACTGATACCAATGATGGGGCACTATTCCTCCCACTGCAAAATTACAGTTCTGAAGTAGCAACGAAAATACTTTTATGGTTGGGGGTCACCACAACATGAGGAACTGTATTGAGGGGTCGCGGCGTTAGAAAGGTTGAGAACCACTGCCATAAAGCTTGTCTGCGGAAGGAAGCATGAAGTGCTCCAAAATCTCCTGGTAGACGGCTGCGTTGACCCTGGACTTAATGAAGCACAGTGGACCAACACCAGCAGATGACATGGCTCCCCAAATCAACACAGACTGTGGAAACTTCACACTGGACTTCAAGCATCTTGCAGTGTGTGCCTCTCCATTCTTCCTCCATACTCTGGGTCCTTGGTTTCCAAATGAGATGCAAAAGTTGCTCTCATCAGAAAAGAGGACTTCGGACCACTGAGCAACAGACCAGGTCTGTTTTTCTTTAGCCCAGGTAAGATGTTTCTGACGTTGTTTGTTGTTCAGGAGCGGCTTGACAAGAGGAATACGACATTTGAAGCCCATGTCCAGGATCCATCTGTGTGTGGTGGCTCTTGATGCACTGACTCCAGCCTCAGTCCACTCCTTGTGAAAATCCCCAACACTTTTGAATGGCCTTTTCCTGACAATCCTCTCCAGGCTGTGGTCATTCCTGCTGCTTGTGCACCTTTTTCTTCCACACTTTTCCCTTCCACATAACTTTCTATTAATGTGCTTTGATACAGCACTTTGGGAACATCCAACTTCTTTTGCAATTACCTTTTGAGGCTTTCCCTCCTTATGGAGGGTGTCAATGATGGTTTTCTGCACAACTGTCAGGTCAGCAGTCTTTCCATGATTGGGATTCCTACTGAACCAGACTGAGAGACCATTTAAAGGCTCAGGAACCCTTTGCAGGTGTTATGGCTTAATTATCTGATTAGAGTGGGACACTTTGAGCCTAGAATATTGCACCTTTTCACAATATTCAAATTTTCTGTGATTGTGGATTTGGGGTTTTCATGAGCTGTAAACCATAATCATCACAATTATGACAAATCACGGCATGAACTATCCTGCTTTGCATGTAATGAGTCTATCTCATAAATTAGTTTCACCTTTTAGGTTGCATTACTGAAATAAATGAACTTTTGCACGATATTCTAATTTTTCGAGTTTCACCTGTATATCTAGTCCACTAACACATTTCAGTCACTTTATGGCCTTAAAGAGGAGCTCCAGTCAAACCTAAAAAAAAAAATAAAAGTCATCAGATACAAAAACTGTGGCAGTCTAGGAGAACCAAGGCAGTCACAGAGGAAGTGGGAGCGGGTACTTGTCACAATTGGGTACCTGCTCCCCCCAGCCCACTCCCCAAAGGTGCCAGGTCCCAATACAAAGCAGAACTTCCCCTTTTGGGTGGAGCTCCACTTTAATCATAGCAAACATAGCCAAGTCACAGTCAACTATTATTAAGACTGCAAGCCATCTGGAACACTTTAATCATATTTTCTATATGCTTTTATAATTGGATATGTGGCCAGACAGAGGTGCTTCATTGCACCATTACCCCACTCTGATGTTTCTGTAAACAAGCAGGCAGGGAAGGCACACCTGTTTTTTCCTTTCACAATCTTCCATATTTTTTTGTACTGAATATTTCACTTTGCTCTGAGAGGTGAGCAGGGCTGCGAGTGAGTGAAGGGAAGGTGAACACAAGTGGCAACACGGCCTCTTTAGAGTTCTCACCCCTGCTACAAATCACTTAAACACATTTGTCTCACACTCTACTGCCGCTCCATCACTCAACCCTGTGTAAGTGCCATTTCAGAGCATATACAGGGTTGAGGAGTCAGGAATGGGAACTGCATCATGGCAGATAGTGCCAAGCTTACCCATACCTAAATGCACTGGCTATTTTTTAGTGGCTGCAACAGATTTCGTTTTCTTTTAATGGTAAAAGTGACAGTCTCTAAAGCAAGGTAAACTCTAAATGGTCTCTCTGCCACACACCTAGCTATGTATGACTCCAAGTTCAGTCATCTACAAGCTTTTATATAAATGAACCATTACACGCTTAATTCACTAAAGATGTTACCCAAGGCATATAGAAGCTTCGGAGTGCGTCTCCTCCAGAGAGTCTCATCGTTATGCGACATGACATCATGAGGTTTGTGTTTGTAATGCTCTGTGTAATGGGACATCTTATCCAGGAAGGTGTACACCTATAATAAATGAACATAATGTAAACGCTAATCAACTCAATATGATCAGCTACAGCGCAATAACCCATCAGTTATTCTTTCCTTTACCTTTTTGGCAGTGGATTTGCTGGAGACGAGAGCACTTAAGAGCTGAAGAAGAGGTGCCAGGCGGGCAGGGAACATGGTGCACACACTGTCCAGCAAGACTCCCAGTCCTACAGTGGACTGCTAGCGGTGAAAAAAAGACACACTTATTAGTCCACGATGTGATGTTCAGATTCAATTAGGTCATTAAGGATGGACTGCCTGATCATATGACCATTGTAAGCTGACAAGGCCAGTCATTACTTTGAGGGCTTGGTCACTGTGCTGGGAGTGCGCTCTCAGCACAGAAACCTCAGTCGCTCATGGATGCAAATGTGCGGAATGTGGACATTAAAACCCACCCTCTTTGCTGCCACACAAGCATTTTGTGGGCAGCAAGAGGTTAAACTTCACCAATGACCCCCAATACAGTGATGATTAAAAAGCCACTGCTAGTGACCACCAATGTGGGGGGTGGAGGTTAAAAGTACTGACACCAGTGCAGGGGGATATTATTGAGTCCACTGACACCAATGTTGGCAGTTATTATCGTGTTCAGTGGCACAGATCTTGCGGCAGTATTATAGCATCTACTGAGGGTTAATATTGCACTCAGTGACACCAATGCTGGGAGTTATTATTGTGCATTGTGATATGCTGCAAAAAATACAGTAGGACCAAAAATTTGGGGCATTGAGGTGTGTTATAGCCCATTCATTATGAATGGACTGCCTAACTTGACACAATGCATGAAAATGCTTTGCTATTGTGCAGCCCTTGGAAGTGTTAGAAGCCACACCTTCGGCCTGGGTTCAACAAATCTTAGGTGCTAGGTCACCATGGCGACTAGAAATTGCATCCTGGCACCTGGGCTTTTGTGTCAGCCATCCACTGTCAGGCACTGGGACGCTGCTTCACTGATCTGGATTCGAAATCCCCGCTGCCTAATCTCCAATCCGTACCTCTCAGAGTACAGACAAGAGGCATTCTAATTGGTCAGCATCATCCCATGGGCAGCACTGACCAATCGGAATCAGTCTAGCCCATCCTGTCAGTGCTGGAAGGGGAGTTGAGAAAGCTACAGGAATTTAAAGTTCCTGAACCTGTGAATCGGCGTCCTGGTGCCTGACAGCAGGGGATCGTGGAACACTGATACACTGGGATGGGGGGATGGGGAAGGGGTCCAGTGTAAGGTTCACCTTACAGATTTTTTTGTAAAGGTGAAACTAACACTTTCAATGTGTCATCCAAGCCCACCCACATGGTTCTCTTTATTTCAATTCTTTCCTTTCTTTTGCTTTCGTTCTCTTTCTGACACACAATTCCAGGTGGCGGGCAGCTAATTTAAAAAACTGGTTCCTAACTTTTTTAGCTGGTTCCTATATTCAAAGCAAATTGGTCAAGCCCTGCCTTAGGCCCTCTATCATTTTCAAGTTGACTACAACTGGACTAGTGGATTCAATAAGATCCAACAACCCTCCTTAACCAGCCCCCCACAAATTAACACTTAGGTCACATCACTTTACCCTAGATTTATTTTGACTGGCACATTTGTTCTAAGATAACAATGCTCCCTCAATTCATTTGCAATGATGTCACCCTTTGTTACACAATTCTGAGATGCCTATAAGCAGCCGTGCGGAACCTCAGTGCCCTAAAACACTCTGTTCTAGTCCCCACAGTCAAAACATGACTTTCAGCCAGGAAGCATATGAAAAGAATCTATAGCACATTGCGGAGAAAAAAACATGTACAAATAAAAACAAGAAGTCACAAAGAAAGAATATTTGAAAATTCAGCTCTATTTTACTTACAGTGCTCTACAAAACCCAGTATTATTTTATGAACGATTAGTTACACGTGTACACTTAAGTTAGGTCACCAATTTATATTATCGCTTCCGCTTGGGAGGAAAAGTATGAATAGAATATTTTCTACTGCATGTGGCCTGCTCTCCCATATGGGTGACAATATTCCCCACGAATATTCAATTTAAAGTTGCTAAAGACTCTACTGAGGTCAGTCTCCCAATGCAGCGCTGCTATAGTTTAAAACCACACGGGCCTACTTACAGCTCATGATTTTCCTGCCCCTTCCCAGCTTCCCTTGTATCATAAACAGACCTGACTTTAAAATAAAAGGACAATTAAAAAGTCACTTTTATACAAATCTAATTTTGGTTTCCATGACTCTAGGCAATATTGATGTTATTTAGTAAAAAATATAATATAGCTGTTAACATTTTACATTTTCTGGGGGAATGACCCTTAATTATCCAATTTCTGTCCAGCTGCCATTACAAAGCTAAATTATGGCATCAAACTATGAATAATACTTAAAGAATACAGTCAAAACATTCTTTATGGAGACAAGCCACTGTAGAGTAATGTTATTAGTGAAATTCATGGACAACATGGAGGCATGTGATTCAGTCCACAAATCCACTGGCATATCTCCCAACTTACTGTATTCCAGAAAAGTTCTGACAGGTTTGGTGCAGTCAGCACTTGACAAGCTGTATCAATGATGTCCTGTAAGAGCCAAAAACAGTACAAAAAGTTAGCTGCTTACGCGCCGCTCTATAGCAGAAATACTGCTACAGGACGGCACAGGTGCACAAAATCATATATATATATGTGATTTTGCAGTTACGGGTAGGGGGTGCGAGCACGCTCTACCTGCACCGCTATTCGCGGCCTCGGCTGTCAATCACCAGGTCCTTGCCGGTGATTCCCCGCAGGCACCCGGCGATCTCCGAGAATTACTGACGAGGGAAAGACCTGTGTATAAACAGCACAGATCTCTCCCGTCAGCTCCTGCACATTGCTTTGTATGGCTCTGCGTAGCAGAGCCATCCAAAGCAGTGTGCTTACAGTGGAAGGCACACACACAGCACACAGTGAAACAGCCCACAGCACACAGTTAACCCTTTTATCGCCCCACATGTTAACCCCTTCCTGCCCAGTGCCATTAGTATAGTGTCAGTGCTTTTTATTAGCACTGATCCCTATATTGGAGTCACTGGAGATGTCAGTGACACCAAGTCAGTTCCCCCCAGTGTCAGCATGCCCGCTGTAATCCAACAGTCCTGCTATAAGTCACTGAATGCCGGCATTACTAGTATAAAAAAAAAAATACATTTTGGCCTAAACATTTATAAAAAATGCAGACAATCAAATACCACCAAAAGAAAGCTCTATTTGTGGGTAAAAAAGATGTAAATTTAATTTGGTGCAGAGTTGCATGACCGTGCAATTGTCAGTTAAAGTAACGCAGCGCCGTATCAAAAAAAAAAAAGGCCTGATCAGGAGGTGGGGGGTAAATCCTCTGGAGGGCAAGTGGTTAGGTAAAAAAAAAAAAAGCTACATATATTTTAAATCTCACACTGACATGTTGGGAGCATGAAACTTAAGTAAGGGGACATAAGGCAATGCTCCTTAAAGCAAAGTCTCCCCAAAACGAGAAACAGCTTCTAGTCAAATTACATTTTCACACAATCAAGTGATCAGTTAAAAAACGTGGATGAGGCATGATTTACCCAAGTCATTATTCTTTAGAAGACATCTTGACACAATTAATTTCCAAAAAAACACAATGACAACTATGTGCAATAATATGTTTTGCCACCCACTGCAGAGGTTTCAGCAGCAAAAAGCCATCCTCTCACAAAAGGGTGCACTAAAAGATGGTTATTTGTATCTCATGCTAGAATGTCATTAAAGCTCACCTGTTGATTGCCCAGCGTGTGTTGGTCTATGGAGATCAGCACAAAACATAGCAGACTGTAGATACATAGACAAGCGGTACTGGTTGTACACTGCAGCACAAACAATTAAACAATGTATCAATAGGTGAAGGGGAAGAACATAAAATGATGGTTCAATAGAATGGATTATTCTGAATACTACTCAAATTGACAGCCAGAAGATGTAAACATTTATGACTAAGAACACATTTTTAAAATTGATGCACATTTTACATTTATGTATAAGAATACTACAATGTTTCCATCCCTGTTACTGACAGACCAGTAAATAAAAGTTAAGCCTACTGCCGAGGTAGTTAGTGCTAAACAACATATTGGCAGATTTTGCCATAGAACGTAAAAACAATTGAGATAAATCAAACACTGTTTGGCAATACTCACACTATGCTCACCACAACCAAGGCCTTGAAGCATTTTGGTCAGATACTGGAAAACATGGAGCTGTAAAGCAGTATTACCCAGTTTTCGAATGGCTGGAGACGCATCATCTGTGCTAAGTGTGTGTTGAAGGAGAGCCCAGGCCAGGAGAATAGGAGCGTGATGTGGGATGTCTCCAAAGGTGAACAAGATTTGATCCATGTCCTGTTCAGAATAATAGAATGTAGTGTCACTGGATATTACATATAGATAAAAGGCAACTACATAATAAGTTGCCAAGTGGCAAAAAGTGAAATTGAAGCCAGTAAGCCTAGTATCCAACCATCCTGCAAGTCCCAGCCAGTGCAACTTCTGGCTCTTGTTAAGCTGCACCTCAGTGTTCTCCATACACATTATTGGCCCCAAAGATACCTATGGGGAATCACTTAAAGAGAAGAAAATTGAAGCACAGGCTGGGGGCTCCTAAGTCACCAAGCACAACTTTTTTTATTTTTTTTAAAGTGTGAGATGGTGAAACGGCATATAATGAACAACCTGTCTTAACCCGAATGGCATCCACTTTCTGTATTTCTCCCTTTATTCCAATTAAATATTTGTGATGCGTATTTGACAAACAAATTTGTAATATTTTTCTTTGTAATTAAAAGAATACACCTTAAATACACCAATCATTGTGAAGTGATTTACCTTGCAAATCTGAGGCTCATTGCTGAGTGGGTGTTCAACATTGTCTTTTAAAGCACACTCCTGTAAAGAGTCCATGTCAATTCCTTCCAGTAGGATAAGAACTTCAAAGTACCTTTAAAGTGAAGTAAAAAATCTTTCAGGGTGGTGAAAACAATCACTAGTGTCAAGTATATTTAGCAAACATCAGATAAACTCTAGTATTGTACATATCTTTGTTATTTTTGTCAGAAAAAAAAAAGAAAAACTTCAGGAACGTATTCACATTTTCCAGGATATGCCATTGCTTTTATGTTGTACAAAGACTGAATTTTGCAGAGGGCAATAGGCCCAGCTGAAATGTACACAAATGCACACATAAATGAGTCAAAGCAGTGACACATCCCTTATCAGAAAGGGCAGGCTAGCTAAAACACTTGGATTTCTCCTGTTTAACACCACAGGCAGAATGAAAGCAGATCCCCTATGACCGCTACACAGTGTGGATGAGGAAGGTGAAAAGGGATCCGCATTGCCTTCTATTGTACTCAGAAAGCCACAGCACTCAAGGCTGCTTGAAAACGCAAAGAGCAACTGCTTCTGGTAGGATGCAGTCATTGTTCGACTGTCAATTTTCCACCAGGCTTCTTCAATATTGAAACTGACTTTTTTGAGCTAAGTGATGCCAACGTGGACACCCACAGCTCAAATTTTGGCTGACTGATCAGAAATTAGTTAAAAATTTGAGCCATGCATGTTCAAATTAAAGCTGGTCATACACCAGTATATTTTTGTTAGAAAATATACATTTGACATAATACCATCAAAGACTTTACTATTGTTGTTCAAAAGTACTTCAAAATCTGGTTTGCTTTTAGCATTTGATTTTGGAATGAATGGAATTTCCCATGAAAACCATATTCACTGCTAGAAATTCCATCCTGCTCCTTTGATTTTTTTTTTTTGTCACTACACATGAAACGGATTGTTGATTTGACCCCCCTAATGATATGAAAAGTGAACGATCAGAAAATATTAGAAAGAATTGTACTGGTGTATAGCCACCTTTAGTCTGGGCTTTTATTCAGGCAAACAATGCCTTCAGGCAGGCAGCTATTACTCGGTTGCCCCTTTAGCTAACTCATATGGCTTTTATACGTGCAAAACAAAGTATCTCTATGTATACAAGCTGGAGAGGGAAAAAAGATAACAAGTTAGTGTAGCAACTTCTAAACCTAAAACAAATTAGACAGCATAACCTTTAAAGAGAGTATAAAGCATTGTCAAAGGCTCCTTAGGTATACAGAATGCATGAGACAGACTTTGATGTAAAAAATGTTATCCTAGCATGTTAATGTTTTAAGAAATCTTGTTTCTATATACAGTTCAAAAGTTATAGGTGTATGGAAGGTAGCTATATTTACTCAACTTTCATCAAAAACAATTAGTGTTGGAAGGTGTGCAGACTTCGGAAAAGTAGAACTTGCTAATACTCAAATCTAGGAATGAATTTAAAACATAACATAAGTGATTTACCAATCCGTACCCAATTCTGTCTATTAAGGGGTCGAGGCTTTGTTCAACCAAGTGACGATTTTGCTGCCGACGTCCAAAGCCTTGCTCCGTGAAAAGTTTAGTAAGTAACAGAAGATTGGCAGGCGGAATTGCAAAATAGGCATAGTACAAGAAAATAATCTCTCCAGCAACATGGCCTGCTCCCGGAGACACTGCAGGAACCAGCGGGACACCTGGCGTTCAGTCTGTAAACAATGCACATGGGAGAAGAGAGAAAACAAATCAGCAATGTAGACTAATGGGGGAATAACTTGTAATAAGCACAAACTACAGCATATAATGAAAATGTCAACTCAGCATGGAAAAATTTACTGATACATACCATGAGGTTGCCATGAGTTTCCCATGTAGGTGCATCTTCTTTGCACAGCTCCTCAAATTTTTTTATATACTTCCCAATTAGGTCCCCCTTTTCCAGCATATCCATGCACTCATTAAACTCTTTCTACAGAGAGAAGTTATTTTTTTTCAAAAAAGAAACCCGATAGGTATTAGTATGATGCAAGAAGAAAACACACAGTACAAATCAGTTTGGCTCAGTGGGCTCCAGAAGTAAATCATCATCTGACAAGCAGCTTTCCTAACTTCTTAAGTGCTAGGACTTACTGGGGCCAATGTCTGACCCCATCTCTAGTCAAGCATGCAAACATTTTGAAAGGTGAAACAAAAAAAAAAAAAAAATTAAAATATTTTTGGATATAACACAATGCCATTTCTGGATAGTTGAGTACAAATGGATGGCTAAAATACAGCCTGGACAATAAAATTTCCTATCCAACATGACCATGAGTGAAGTCTGACTGCACAGAATGAGGTAGGGTAGTAGTATTCACCCAAACCAAACCATCGGTACTGACAGACATCAGTTACCTGCTAAACCATGTTTGGATAGCAGTAAAGTCCCCATTACCTTTTGGTACAGCCAAAATGGACAAAAGACCTAAAGTGTACTTCTCCCTCTTATGTTGCCACTACAGATAACATGAGCTGCTCTGTTAGGGGACAACCTCAGCCTCTTGGATTCCTAGAAAACTGACAGCAAAAATGAAATGCTAAATCATAAAGTCCTTTTTATAAATGTGAAAAAACAGATGATTAGCGCCAAATGAATTAAGTTTAAAATTAGATATGTGCTCATTCAGTCCTTCCTTGCAGAGATGTACATAGCACAGAAAAAACACACATAAAGCTTGGGTAATGTGAATGTGCTCTGGTACTTTTCCTGTGTGTTGCATCTAGATCAGCCTTTCTCAACCAGGGTGACTTAAGGTTTCTTCAGGGGTGTCTAAAAATTGCCCAAAACGTGTATAAAAGCCAGCGGGTGGAACAAGCCTGCCTTTTAGTTACGCAAAGCCACAGGTTTTCATTGTGCACCATTAGGACTTTCTAGCCGCCGGCATCCTGACAACCAATGACATCATCAGTTGATAAGGAGGATGTTTTTTGTCTGCATAGCATCCTTATTTGACCTTCCCCTGCCCCTCTCTATCAGTTCTGGGGTCACATTAGCTCAGCGATGGAGAAAAACTGAGGGTGAAAAGAAACATTGGACTACTAGTCAGTACCAGTTTGCAAAAGAATAAATCCCCTCCAATGTTGGCTGTCCCTACGTGTGGATGTTGCTGGGTTATATAAAAAAATATGAGAATAGTTTTCCACATGTTAGAATGGGGTGCCCTTTAAAAATTATGGACAGTCTAGGGCAGCAATGGGCAAACTGCGGCCCGCGGGCCGTATACGGCCCGGCGGACCTTTTAATCCGGCCCGCGGAGCGCGATACTGTCAGGATGGCGGTCAGGATGTGTGTAGGCGGGGCAGCGTGACGAACGTGAGGGGAGCTAGGCTCCTCTCACAGTCCGCCCTGAAGACCGAAACGGCGCGGGAACACGGCGAGAGGAACGTGCGGAGCAAAGGTAAGTGAATTGAATTACTATAGGGGGGATGAATTACTATATGGGGGATGAATTACTATATGGGGGATGAATTACTATGGGGGGATGAATTACTATGGGGGATGAATTACTATATGGGGGATGAATTACTATATGGGGGATGAATTACTATGGGGGATGAATTACTATATGGGGGATGAATTACTATATGGGGGATTGAATTACTATATGGGGGGGGAATGAATTACTATTAGGGGGGATGAATTACTATGTGGGGGATGAATTACTATATGGGGGATGAATTACTATATGGGGGATGAATTACTATGGGGGATGAATTACTATATGGGGGATGAATTACTATATGGGGGATGAATTACTATATGGGGGATGAATTACTATAGGGAGGATGAATTACTATATGGGGGATGAATTACTATATGGGGGATTAATTACTATGCTTACTATGGGGAATATTACTATACTTACTATGGATGACACTTACACATCATTCATCTACTCTTGGTCCGGCCCCCGGGTCCAATATATGAACCCATTGCGGCCCTCAAGTCAAAAAGTTTGCCCACCCCTGGTCTAGGGTGTATAAAGTCTGTCCATAATTTCAAAGGGTGCCTTGACTGAAAAAAGGTTGAGAAACATAAAAGTCTTTCTATGAAACTTCAAGTGCACTGCACCAGTTTTATGCCAATAGGAGCTTTTATAGATGCTGATTTATAGGTAAAGTTGATCCAGGGAATATCTCAATGCCTGCCTGGGGATCAGGAAGGAATTGTGTTCCCTGCAGGAGCAAATTACATCATGCTTTGCTGGGTTTTTTGCCTTCCTCTGGATAAAACTGTAGGGAAAGGATTATAACTTTTTTTTTTAAATGGTTGAACTGAATGGACTTTTGTCTTTTTTCAGCCAGACTAACTGTGTAACTATGAATAAAACCAAACAAGTCATGTCATCTGTTCTTTCTCCAGCTTCTGCAGAACATCCATTTGGATACAAGTAAAATGGAAAACTATACTGAAGACAGCCAAAAACTTAATGAAAATGGAAGGATGAAAGGTGCACCTGCCAGGAGGAAAAATAGACAGGAAAGGTAAAAGCCCACTGCAGGATAAGGCAAAATGAGACTCCTATTATTAGCAGAAACATGGTTGTGTTACTTCAGGCCCTTCAGGTCTAGAAACCCAAGGGAGCCTCAGAAAGGGGGATAAACACAAATGCTGGTAGAGAAGGGCTTGTATTAGTTATAAGGAAAAGTATAAGAAAAGAAAGAAAACATAAGCCTAGCTAAGGAAAACTTACACCTGAAAGTGGCCATGAAATTGAGCTCTTAAGACACTATCCAAAAACAGAAGAGCCAGTGTCCTAGGCACTGATATAGCCAACAAAAGAGCAGTAACTCTTCTGATCTGCTTCCTACATACAAGCAATACACCACCATCAGCTGAAGTGAAAACTTCACTTGCTCAATCAACATGAACTATTTGTAATTCTTATGATGCATTAGTAAATAGATAGGAAAGTATATTACATTTACTTGTTCTAACCTTTTTTATTACATTTCTTCAGTTACTCCTGGTTTCATGCCTAGGCAAATGAGGTCATACACCCCAGGAGTCTTCATGAGAGGAGGGGTTTTCTCAGATAAGCCCATCTTCCTGACTGCATGCCTGAGCTAAGGGTGGATGGATTTCAGGCAGTAAATGCTACATGAATCATGTGCCCTTACTCAAGAAAATGTTAGGTGGGGTGTTTTTCAAAGTGAATTTTTAGCAAAATAAAACATGACATGGATGGATGAGTGCGTTTGCTTTGAATATTAAGAAATAATTAAATAGCATTTTTGGTGTGTGGTGCTCAAATGCAGTATAGTTCCACTTTAAACTGTGTCCCTTGGGAACAATAGGGGAACAGATGCTCGCCTCACAGCATTTAGTAAAATCTTATTTCCAAGATGCATTGCGACTCTCTGGTGCTGAACATAAAGCAGAGAAAATGACTACTGGCACATAATTTCCTAGATTGTAAGCTCGAAAGAGCAGGGCCCTTGAACCCCTCGTGTTTTGTTTTGTTACTGTATTGTCTTATGTACTGTCCCCCACTATAATGTACAGCGCTGAGCAAACCTTTTAGTGCTATATTAATACTGTATAATAATAATAATAATAATAATAATAATAATAAATATTTGTATATATTCATACAAGAGAAAAATAGAGATACAGGATAGACATAAAATGCTGTAAATAGGTTTACCTTATAAGGGTGTTTCTCATCCTGAAAATAAGTCAGCAAATGTAGAACACATCGCAGCATACACATCCTGTCTTCATAGTAATATTCTGCCATCTAAGTTGTGAAAGGCATTTCACAATTAAAAAAGAAACGTAATCAACTAACCCAAAGAACATGTTAAAAAGGTAGCCATTAAAGTAATTCCAAGGCCAAAGCATTTTCCCCCAATTTTTATTATATGGAAGGGCTAAAACCATAAGAGATTTATTTTTTTTTGCCATCTGTATCCTATTGGGCAGATTTTTCACTTCCTATCCTTTAGATCCAACAGGAAGCAAGAGCTGTTACCTGAAAAAGAGTGTTTCTATTGGAAAATATTCCCTTTATTCCCTTTTCCCAAGTGGTGACACAGAGAAATAACAAAAAATAGCATTCCTCCCCACACGAACAAAGATAAAGAGAGAGAAAAAAAAACCTTTAAAGTAATTGTAAATCCTTACATATACTCAGTGAAGTAACTGGCCTCAGGTGATACACAGAGATTAAACAAATCTTCCTACATAAGTAGGAGGTCCCTCCTCTGTCACCATTTTTCTTTTGGTGTCAGGAAAAAAAAATCAGGCGACTCATGCTGATAGCAGGGGAATGAAGCGGCAGACAGTAATTACACTTACTGCTTCTAATTGAGGCGACTAAACACCATAGAGAGATTTTCTTTATTCATATTTCATGTCTGAGGTTTATAACTACTTTAAGCAACAATTACCTCTAATTCTTTCAGAATTAAAAACATAAAACCTTTTTGCAGAAAGAAAAGCCCTGTAATGAAGCAGAAATGTGTGGCCACTGCTCTTCTACATATAACAGGACTCTTGTACTTACGGAAAAAAAAAAAAAAAAACTTTTCTTGGAGTTTACTGCGGGACACAAAGTTAAACCTTTTATACTGCCAGCTTAAGAAGGATTGGATGCAAAAAACTGTAGGCCATCCCAGGATATTACACCTCCTACTACTAGCATGTCACAATTTAGTGGAAAAGCAGTACCAAAAGTATAATAACCCATGTCCCTCAAACATAACTTTACCATGAGTAAATTAGGGGGTAAAGGGAGTTACAGTGGGGATCGAACGTTTGGGCACCCCAGCTAAAAATTTGTATTAATGTGCATAAAGAAGCCAAGGAAAGATGGAAAAATCTCCAAAAGGCATCAAATTACAGATTAGACATTAGACATTCTTATAATATGTCAACAAAAGTTAGATTTTATTTCCATCATTTACACTTTCAAAATAACAGAAAACAAAAAAATGGCGTCTGCAAAAGTTTGGGCACCCTGCAGAGTTAATATCTTGTACTGCCCCCTTTGGCAAGTATCACAGCTTGTAAACGCTTTTTGTAGCCAGCCAAGAGTCTTTCAATTCTTGTTTGAGGTATCTTTGCCCATTCTTCCTTACAAAAGTCTTCCAGTTCTTTGAGATTTCTGGGCTGTCTGTCACGCACTGCTCTTTTAAGGTCTATCCATAGATTTTCAATTATGTTGAGGTCAGGAGATTGTGAAGGCCATGGCAAAACCTTCAGTTTACGCCTCTTGATGTAATCCCCTGTGGATTTCGAGGTGTGTTTAGGATCATTATCCATTTGTAGAAGCCATCCTCTCTTTAACTTCAGCTTTTTCACAGATGGCATCAAGTTACCATCCAAAATTTGCTGAAATTTTATTGAATCCATTTTTCCTTCTACTCGTGAGATGTTCCCTGTGCCACTGGCTGCAACACAACCCCAAAGCATGACTGATCCAACCCCATGCTTAACAGTTGGACAGAGGTTCTTTTCATTAAATTCTGTGCCCCTTCTTCTCCAAACGTACCTTTGCACATTCCGGCCAAAAAGTTCAATTTTAACCTCATCGGTCCACAGAACGTGTTTCCAAAATGCATCAGGCTTGTCTATATGTTCATTTGCAAAGTTCAAATGATGATTTTTGTGGTGAGGACGTAGAAGAGGTTTTCTTCTGATGACTCTTCCATAAAGACCATATTTGTACAAGTATCTCTTTATAGTGGAATAGTGTACCACAACTCCAGTGTCTGCCAGATCTTTCTGGAGGGATCATGCAGTCAAACATGGGTTTTGAATTGTTTTTCTCACAATCCTGCGAGCTGTTCTGTCTGATATTTTTCTTGGTCTTCCAGATCTTGCTTTAACTTCCACTGTTCCTGATGACTGCCATTTCTTATTTACATTCCGAACAGAGGATATTGACATCTGAAAACGCTTTGCTATCTTCTTATAGCCTTCTCCAGCTTTGTGAGCGTCAACTATTTTCAGTTTCAGTTTTCTAGACAACTGCATGGTGCTGATTGTTGGGGCAAGGTCAGATGAGTCTGGGCATTTAAAACCTTTGAGATTGACATCACCTGGTCTTCCCAGATGATGATTGAGAACAATCCATGACACTGGCAGGTCTCAGCTTTGCAAAGGGGGCAGTGCATGCTATAAATTCTGCAGGGTGCCCAAACTTTTGCAGACGCCATTTTTTTTTGTTTTCTGTTATTTTGAAAGTGTAAATGATGGAAATAAAATCTAACTTTTGTTGACATATTAAAAGAATGTCTAATCTGTAATTTGATGCCTTTTGGAGATTTTTCCATCTTTCCTTGGCTTCTTTATGCACATTAATACAAATTTTTAGCTGGGGTGCCCACACTTTTGATCCCCACTGTACTTACTTTCAGGACATCCAAAAGCAGTCCAACTGAGGATTGGGCAACATTGAAAACAAACACTAACAAGCACCCCCCCCCCAAAAAAAAATGTAATGGGGACTGCCTGAAGCTCATAGAGCTACCTGAAGGTTCTTACAACCAAAGGTGATTGTGAGTAGTGGCCACAACATCCACCTGGAAAATCTATGAAAGTATATGAACTTGAAGTCCTGATGTGGCAACCTCACAAATCTGGAAAACAGAGACCTGATGGAAAAATGCCTAAGGAGCACTCTGAAGTAAACATTGAATAGAAAAGGGAGAACTGGATCCTTGTAACCATAAGCTTGAACAGTGGCCTTTCTGAGCCAATGACAAAATGAGAATTGGCCTTACAGAATGAAGTTGTGACAGGGAGATACACTCAAACAGCCTAAACCACATCCAAAGAAGTGGAGAGAAATCTACGTCTTGCGAAATGGCGCTAAATACAAATATGAAATGACAATGTGCTGACTATGGAGACATGTAGAAACCACCTTGAAAAGTAAGGAAGACCTAGGCCTCTAGAACACCCATTTCTCAAGCAGGACCGAAAAGAGTTCTTTGAAGGATAAAGCTGCCAGTTCAGACACTCGTCTTGCCGAGTATAGATCTATAATATAGATCTGCTCTTCTACTTCCTAAACCTACTCCCCCAGCTGCTGTAAGTATATACAATAGGACATCAATATATCATAAAATGAAATTTCAGCACTATAAAAGATAGCCTCACATAAAATGAATCCTTCCCATATAATCGTGTAAAGCAGCAAACACATAATCTAGAATTAAAAAACAACTTGTTCTATTAATTCATAAGGAGCCATACATTGATTCATGAAAAAAGCTCAAATAAAAATAATTTACACGTCCCCCTCTTTACAGTCTCTGATCTCATTAGCTCCAGCAATGTGCTTAAGTGATAAAACAGAAGAGGGAGACCAGCATAGCACTTAACAATACTTTTTTTTTAAAAAAAATTCAATAAAAACAGGGCAAAACTCACATAAAGAAAGTTCATACCCAACACTAATAAATAATGGCTCACACTCACAGTCCTATGTGTGTGTGCATGCCGATACGCGATGACGCAACTATGCTTTGGCCCCAACCAATGCTTTTTCTCATGAACCAACTACCTCAGGAGATTATATAGAGATGGATTAATTTAGTGTGAGGCAATTATATGAGGAGGGATTCATTTTATGTGAGGCAATGTGGGCCTTCAAAGCACTGTAAACTCTTATCACTGCCTATGATGATAGAAACAAGGGGAACTAGGTTTCAAGTCACAGCAAAAAGAAAGAAAGATACATTATATTGCCAGAAAGTATTGGGACACCCCTCTAAATCATTGGATTCAGGTATTCCAATCACTTCCATGGCCACAAGTGTATAAAATCAAGCACCTAGGCATGCAGACTGCTTCTACAAACGTTTGTGAAAGAATGGGTCGCTCTCAGGAGCTCAGTGAATTCAAGCGTGGTCCAGTGATAGGTTGCCGCCTGTGCAATAAGTCCATCCGTGAAATTTCCTTGCTATTAAATATTCCACGCTCAACTGTTAGTGGTTTTATAACAAAGTGGAAGCAACTGGGAACAGCAGCAACTCAGCCACCAAGTGGTAGGCTACGTAAAATGACAGAGTGGGGTCAGCGCATGCTGAAGCACACAGTGAGCAGAAGTCTACAACTGTCTGCAGAGTCAATAGCTAAAGACCTCCAAACTTCGTGTGGCCTTCAGATTAGCACAACAACAGTGCGTAGAGAGCTTCATGGAATGGGTTTCCATGGCCAAGCAGCTGCATCCAAGCCTTACATCACCAAGTGCAATGCAGAGTGTTGGATGCAGTGGTGTAAAGCATGCCGCCACTGGACTGTAGAGCAGTGGATATGAGTTCTCTGGAGTGACGAAGCACACTTCTCTGTCTGGCAATCCAATGGACGTGTCTGGGTTTGGCGGTCCCAGGAGAACAGTACTTGCCTGACTGCATTGTGAGGGGGGATTATGGTGTGGGGTTGTTTTTCAGGGGTTGGGCTTGGACTCTTCGTTCCAGTGAAGGGAACGCTTAAGGTGTCAGCATACCAAGACATTTTGGACAATTTCAAGCTCCCAACTTTGTGGGAAAAGTTTGGGAATGGCCCCTCCCTGTTCCAACATGACTGTGCACCAGTGCACAAAGCAAGGTCCATAAAGACATGGATGAGCAAGTTTGGGTGGAGGAACTTGACTGGCCTGCGCAGAGTTCTGGCCTCAACTCGACAGAACACCTTTGGGATGAATTAGAAGGGAGACTGCTAGCCAGGCCTTCTTGTCCTACATCAGTGCCGGACCTCACAAATGCGCTTCTGGAAGAATGGTCAAAC